ACTAATTTATAAATGTATGTTTAATTTCATTCAGTCGATGGATACAGTTTACACGTAGAAAGCCATTTGCATTTTAGCACCATCTAAGTGTGTTCTAGCCGATGTTAAAATTGAATTTAATGTGCAATTTTGTTAATGATAAGCAGTAGCTTTATTATTATAATATTTAAGAAAAGATTCAGAGCTCAGTGACTAGTCAGCGTCCCAGAATCCACTGGGATGCTGGCTAGACCAATTCCATAGGATACTTTGTTTCTTTTTCTAGTCACTGGTAGTCTCTGGGAAATAATTGCCTTTTGTAGCAGAAAGCAATTTAGTTCTCTAGTAACCATTTGTGAATTTTATGTAATACCTGGATTTCACTTTAGTAAATAATCAAGACCTGTGATAGAGCGCCACTGTTAGGCTGGCTTCTCAAGGTTTTTTCTAACAGAAGTCCAACGTGATGGGTTGATTCTTTAGAGCCGTGAAACTGTAAAAAATTCATGGTAACTCCTCTGCAGCCTAAATAGAGATAAATGTGTAGGAACCGACACATAGTTAATATGAAATTTGCATTTTGCATGTTTTGCTAAATCCATTTATTTTTAAGAATCCTTTGCCCATTTGAGAGAGAACGTTTATGTTGGAAGCCATCCTTTCACTGCCTGGTCTTCACTGGTGCAGTTCATCGACAGGACCCTTTCCATTGTGTCAGAGGTGGCTTCCTCATGGCTTCCGCACATGTTACCTGTCACATGCTCTCTGCAGCATCCCACAGTTGCAATGTTGAGAGTTATGCTTCTCTGTACTTCTTTCTGCTCATTCATTTCACAGAATTCAGTGAGTGCCTGCTCAGGGTGCTTTCCGGGCACTGCAAAGAGAGAACAAGCCATCAAGGAAGAGAGTATCTGCTCTATGTCTGTAAAGCTTACCAATTGTAGTAGTTCCTCATTATGAATTCTGTCATATCTTTGTCACTCATTGAAAATAGAACATCCAAGTGAAATTTCTTCCTTCCTGTTAAATTTTAAGTGTGTTTTAATATATTAGATGATTATTAATTTCTTTGATTAGACGTTAAGTATAGTGAGTATTTTTCTCTTGTCATATTCAGTGTCTATGCTTTTTTAGAGGTTGTACAGATCCCTAAAATAAGTTGGAGGAGGAAACAGAAGTTCTGAATGGAGAAAAAAATAAAAATGGAATTTTGTGTGTTGTATGTATGTAATGTGTCAGTGTTCATGCTTTTCCTTACATGTGAGCACATACATATTTCTTCTGTAAATTCTTTATTAAAATAGACTAATATTTGGTGTCTCCAGGCAAACGGTGTAAATACATTTCAAAATTTTTAGAAAATGTATTTCTTCAATATATGACTTAAATGCATGACAAGCCTTAAATTATTTAGTTCAGGGAATAATTTCAAAGCATTTGTCTTGCTTGCAAAATGCTTTTTCCAAATTTCTGTTTATTTGCCTATATTGAATAGCCCTCCTCCTCTGTTACTAGAACTGTAGTGAAATGCAGCATTGCCAAGTCCCAAGCCCTCTACAGCGCCCAGAGGGGGCTGAAGACTAGCAACGCGGCCGTGGTCAAAGTCGGGGCCATCAGCATCAACATTCCCCAGCACCCCGCCACCTTGCACAGCATGATGGTTCGAAGTTCTCACCAGCTGTCCAAGCAGATCTCAGACCTCATCCGACAGCCGTCTACTGTGTAAGGCACTCCGCCGAGGCCTGTGATTCTGTACAACACCTCAGCCATTCTTTGCTGTGTTAACAGTAGTTTGGAGGGAGACAGAGGGTTACACCTAACAATTGACCATTGTGGGCAGTGGGGCAGGTGGAAAGTAGCCAGACACAATCATGGATAATACTGGATATTATTCAAGTACTATGTCACATGTGCAAATGTCAGTGTTCCATACTGTACCAAGAAAGCTTAAGAGACCCTAGACATTTGTGGGCACCATAAGAGGGACTGATAAAAAGTGAACAAATTCAAAAACTGTATCAATCCTTGTTTGCTTTGAACTCATTGAAATTTATGACTGCATAGGTTTAAAAAAATTTCACTGGCCATTATGTCCCATGAATGGTTTCGTGCTGTCCCTTACATGAAGTGATTGTACATGCCACATACGTGTTTTCAAGGGCAGTAAACTGGACCTTGGCACATTAGCCTGTATTCCCTGTGTTGGTAGCTCATGGGTCTGCATTGCTGAGGTTCATTACTGGTCTGCAAAGCTATAACTAATGAATAACTACTAAAAATGTGATAAGTAAAAGGTAACAAATGTCTTATTATGTTTCCTTTTTCCTATCCTATAAGGTAAAAAAATAAAAAATATTAGTGTGTCATTTGACAGTGTCTTAAAGTCATGATTTTTTCCAGTTGTTCTCTGGATCCTTAATTCTGGTATAATATTCATGTCAGAAGTTGCCTACATAGTAATAATTTAAATGCTTTTTCCCTGTCAGTGGAATGTGGAATGCAGAATGTGTACATGTGCCTAGTTTTAAAATAACCTAAGGAATTTTTCCTTATTATAATGTGTTGCCAGTGAAGCGTAGTAGTTATAAAACTCAGACTCTGGAGTCAGACTGAGTTCAAATCCTGATTTCACCACTCTCTAGCTGTGCTTCCTCGTTTACCAAGTGGAGACAATAGTATCCACTCAGAGGGTTTTGTGAGATAAATGAATAAATGATATAACACACACAACACACAAAGCACTAGGAACAGCGCGTGGCACAAAGTAAGCACTCACATAATTGTTGGTGTCGGCGTTATTGTTAACAGTGGTAGTAAACGCCGTGGCGGTGTAGTCGTATGACAACCAGCAGTAGAGTGCATAGTGGTTCAGTCATGGAATTTGGGATCAGACAAACCAGAGTTTAAACTCCACTTTCATGATAATGATATGAATGGCCTTGGCATCACAACATTCCAGTTATATTGTTTTTACCTGTTTTTGCTTACTTTTCTGTATCATCCTTTTTCAATGGCTATTTTTAGGAAGTCTTAATATAACCTGGTGTTAGAAAGAAACACCTGTTTACAGTATATTATTCATTGAGGACTCTTAATCATTTCATACAATAAAGTGGTAGCTGCTCTAATTGTGTCATTTTAAATTATTTTTTTTCTTTGTAGCCCACAGACTGTAAAAGAAGATATTGCAACGCCCCTACCTTCTGAAAAAACCCCAACAAGTGTTAATCAGACTCCTATTGAAACCAATGAATTTCCTCAGCTACCGGAAGGCTTAGAGAAGAAGCCCGTTGTTCTCAAGTTCAGTGCCATGTTGGACGGGATTGCCATTGGAGCCGCACTTCTGCCGTCTCTGAAAGCGGAATACAAGATGGGGAGAATGCGGAGTCACGGCATGACAGGTGACACTGAATTTTGAATCCAGTCTCTTAAAATTTATTATTGGAGAAACTAGTAATATTTTGATGAAAAGGTAAAGTTGATTTTATAGGTACTATATGAACATTTATATAATTTTCCTCATAACACTTTTAAATTTTATTAATGATGTTCTTCAGTCATGTGAAAACTGTCAGCACACTTCCTTCACTGACCAGCATGGGCCCCACTTTCATTTGAACACTTTAGAGTTACTTAGCTATTGAAGCCATTTCTCCAATTTAAACTTAGGTGGAATACATTTCTACATCTTAGAGGTTTCTAGAGCCTGAATAACATGGTTTATTTTCACACTGGGTGCATTTAGCTTGAATCAGAGGAAATTTGATCTTCAAAATAGCTAGTTCTAAGGGCCGGCCGAGTGGCTCAGTTGGTTAAGACCAAGAGTGCAAGCTCTGAGCAACAGTGGTTCGATTCCTGGCCTGAGCTGAGCAGCCGGGTGGCAGGATGGCTCAGCTAAAAAAAAAAAAAATTCTATAAGGTTTTGTGATCCTTACATATCCTATCCAAAAGTTCTTTGCTGTTGTAGTTTTATTCTGAAATATATCATATATACAAGTATAAACTATATACACACAGTTTAAAGGATAATCAAGAACTCTTCAAACCAATACCACACCTAAGAATTAGAATATTACCAATACTTTGAAGGCTCCTTCAAGGAAGGTCATTGTTACCAGATAATATGACCCATGGCTGCTTGGGGAATAGCCACTATCATGAATTTTGTGTCCCTGTCCCTTTGCTTTTCTTTATGGTCTTACCGCATATGTATGTGCTCCTAAATGACTTCAAGTTCACTGTTGCCTGTTTTGAACTTTATTTATATGGAATCCCACTAACACATTTTTTAACTTGGAATTGTTTTGCTTACACTTCGAGGTTCATCTGTGTTCATCCGAGTATCTGTGGTTCATTCGTTTGTCACTGAAATGCAGTAGTCCATTAAGTGATTGTATCACAGCTGATCCATTCTGCTATTGATGGGCCTTTGACCCATTTTACTTTTTGGCCTTTGCCGTCGTTCTCATGCACATCTCCTGGTGTACATTTGCAAGAGTTTCCCAAGGGCGTTTATGTAGGAGTGGCACAGCTAGACTGTAGGGTAAATGCATTGTCAGCTTTACTAGGAAACGCGAAACCATTTCCAAAGTGCTTATGCCACCAATGTTTACTCCCCCGGCACATTAGATGAGCGTTCCCTTCGTTCCTTCATAACACTTGGTATCATCTGACTTTTAAATGTTTGCTTGACTGGTAAATGTACGACGTTATCTCATTGTGGCTTTAATTTCTATTTCTGTAATTACTAATGAAGCTGAGTTTTTTATATGATCAAAAGGCCCTTATATGTTTTCTTATATGAAATGCCTGTTGGTGGTTTTCCTTTGTTTGTTGCCAATTTTACCATCAAGTCATTTGTATTTTTTTTGGTTCACAAGAATTCTTTACATATTTTGTATATTAAACCTTTGATGGTATATGTTTAACATATATTGTCACCCATTCAGAGACTTATCATTTCACTTTGAGTTGTCTTTTGGTCAACATATTCATTTTAATGTAATTGAATTTATCAGTGTTTTTCTATATCATGTGTATTTTTATGTCTTAAATTCTTCTCTTCCAGGATCATGAAAATATTCTCTTATATTTTCTGTTAAGTGTTTTGAAGTTTTACTTTTCATATTTAAGTTTTTAATCTATATGGAATTGATTTTTTTTCTTGACTTTGGTGTGGAGAAGTATGCATAACCGTTTATCTCAGCATCATCTCTTCTTTTTTTCCAATGACATATAATCCACTGCTGTCCTCTGTTAAGTGTGTATGTATGTGGGCGCTCTTTCCGAGATCTCCGTTACACCTCATTGACCTCTTTGCGCCAGTATCATATTGCTACTTGACTTTTGCTTTTTTAGAAGTTGTCGTGGTTGTTTTTGGTTCTTTGTTCCTTCATACACATTTTATAATCAGTTTGTTTGTCAAGTTCTCTGAAAAAGTTTGTTTGAATTTTTATAGGAATTTAATTGAATCTATAGATTTACTTGGAGAGAATTGATAATATTGAAACTTGATACAATATGTAGCACTCTTGTTACTGAATGTGTCTATTTTTCTGTTTCTTTAGGTCTTTTTCATTGCTTTTCTACAAAATTTAAAAGTTTTCTGCTTAAGGTTTTCATGCACCTTTTGCAAGATATATTTATTTACTTATGCCTAGGTACCTTATGTTGTGGTAGTTATTACAAATGATACATCTTGAAAAGTGGCATTTTCTAAACTGTTTGGTGGTAGTATGTACTAGTGTGCTTGATCCTTTTATGTTAATTTTATGCTCAGCGAACATATTAAACTATTATTGCTAATGCGATTCTTCGGAGTTTCCTAAGTAGATGTTTACCATATGCAAATAATGCTTTAGTTTCTTCCTTCCCAGTCTTTATGCCTTTCTTTCTTTTTCTTGTGTTATTGTGCTTGTACTACAGTGTTCAGTAGAAGGGGCATTGTGAGCATCCTTTCATCCTCCTGTTTTTTTAAGGAAATCAGTATTTTGCCAATGGATATGATGCTTGCTGTAGGTTTCTGTTAGGCTGCCTTTATCAGGTTAAGAAAAATTACTTCTGTTTCCAGTGTGCTAAGACTTTCTACGAAGAATAATTGGTAATATTATCAGCTACTTTTTTCTGCATCTATTGAAATTAAAATGTTTTTCTCTTTTATTCTGTTAACATGACAAATTACATTAATAATTTTATAAAACACTCATATATGCATATGTGAATACATATATATATGTATGTATTTATATATGTATGTGTGTGTGTTTCTTCCTACCCCCAGCATTTTAGGTTTTCTGTATTGAGAGGGATTTTTCTGGACACGTACATCTTTTTGTTACTGGGAACAAACACTCTAAAGTGAGTTTCCAGATTCAGCAGTCAGCAGTGTTAGGCCTTCAGATATTGGGTTGACAATAAGTTAGGTTCATCTCGGTCACTTATTCAGGGCATTTGTGAAATACCGAGTCTTTATAGTAAGCATACATATACTTAAAGATAGGAAATACAAGCAAATGTAAAATATCCTTTCCATATCTTTCCCTACAGGTTCTGGGATATGCACACATTTTTTTTTAGGCACCATTTTTGGACAAAGTAAGGAATGAATGTGTGAATGAGCCCCTGAACAAGCAGCGACTTTTCTTATTTCTTCCAGGTGCACAGACCCGGTTCACATTTGAGCTGCCAAATCACAGACTGCGTTTTACTTCCAAAGTTTCTGCCACAGACATGTCAACCATTCCTCCTTCCGCCAGTCTTAACCTGCCTCCTGTCACCATGTCAGGGAAGTACATAATGGAAGAGCATGACAGCTATTCGGACCAGGTGTGGAGTCTAGATGAGCTGCCTTCTAAACAGGGGTACTACTTACAGGGAAATTACCTGCGTTGTGTGGCAGAGGTAAGTGGTTTTTTTTTTTTACTTTTCTTACTTGTTGTAGTTAGAAGTCTTCAAGCTTTAGTTTTACCAAAATATGTAGTGATCCAAACTTCTAAGGCAAATTATTAAATCAATTATTCCTACAGGATTCTATATTGAATCTGGGGTATGTGTGTGCACGTGTGCATGTGCATGTGTATGTTTCTGTCTTTCTCTCTATAGTTTTATTTTAAATATACCTTTACTAGCCATCTTTGAATTCATATTTCTTCCTTTGTGTTTCACATTCATCTCTGCAGGCTTTGCATGGTTCATTTTATTATGAAAAGCTAATAGCACCTCCCATTTGTCAAGGTAACTCACTGATGCATTGCTCACACAGTCATTACGTCAATCCTGTGAGGGACATATATTTGTTCTCATTTTATAAGTGAAGAAACTGGGCCCTTAGAAATGGTTAATGATTCATCCAGGTACACATAGTTATTAGGAACAATCTAAAGGCCATAGAGGGAGATAAAATAAGTACAGTCAGATTCACAGACTAATTTCTCTTCCAAGGGAACTTGAAAGCCAGCATAGCTGACTCCATCATTAGGTTTCACTTTATATCTGTACAGCTGTCACAAGTTTAACCCTCCGTCGGGCACAACTGATCTCCCAGATTCATTGCACACAAAGATGCCACTATGAAATACGTCTTTACTGTAAAGTCACAAACATGACTGGCGATAGGTTACTGTAGAGGGGAAAGATATGGAAGTGATGAGTCACGATACCTAACCTTAGATACTTGAAAATTTGTGTGCAATGAATCTGTGAGATCAGTTGCGCCTCACAGAGGGTTAAACAGCATTTGCATACAAGTTTTTCATTCGGTTTGGTTAGGCAAGCAGGTCATTTGTTACTGTCCTAATTTGATGCTGTAGAAAATTGAAGCGAGGACAGGACTTGCTGTGAACCTCCCCGCTGTGGGTGAGCGATGCAGGAGTTACCCAGTGCTGTTCTCGCAGCTTCCTCTGTCCATTTGTCGGGAACAGTCGCTACCTTGTCAAAAGCAATGTGCTATTTGTTGTAAAATTTTATTGTCTAGAATCTGAAGTATTTGTAAGAATGCTTTCTGTGTACTTTGCCAAACGTATTACAGCTCTGGGGACATATTTAAGTCTGACTTAACCGTCTTTAGATCCTGTTTGCTGTAGCACTTTTATAAGTGTTGGGCTATCTGTACTCCTATGTGAAGAATGGTGTACCAAAAAATAGTGTACAGCATTCTTGGGGGCAAATATTCATTTATAAGATAGATTGTAAAGCCTGTTTTATTTGTGCTTTCAACTCTTATTTAGCAACACTATTACTAATACTTCCTTTGACAGAAAATAATGCAGTATATGCAAAGTTTCTAACTAGTCGTAGCTATTAGGAATGTATAAAGTTTGTAACTGGGGTAGAACACAATCCAAAATTTACCAAGAATTCAGTTACTTGTAAACGTTTGAGAGAATCTAAAATTGCAGCCCCCTGAGAGTCACCTGTTTTACTGTGGCCTGAAATAGACACACGTGGCAATTAGGTGCCCATTTTGTACTGTGTACAAAATGAAAGTGCCTGGTGCAATTCAGACTTTACGTGACTTCTCACTTGTGAAAAGACTGTCAAACCTATTTTGCTCTTTTAATTTTTGGTCAAAATATGAATGCTATCGACGTGGCAAATGTTGGAGCTTCACCTTACCCTAGCTTATGATAACACTCGCCTTCAGGCAGGGCCTGCTTTCGACTTGATCTGTTTGCTAACTAGGTCTTGCCAGACATTTTATGTCTCATGCTAATGACAGGGCACATCTTATATTAACACTGAGTGTATCTCATTTGCTGATTCACACAAATGTGAGCCTCAGGAGAGCCGTAATTTTGTTGTTTGTATTCATAGTTGCACTAGCGCCTAATGCAGCACACAGAGAAGGTGGTCAGTAAATATTTGAATAAGCAAATAAATTTCACTTCTAATGGTGTTTGCCATAGTTCTAACACTACAACATTGGTCATTAAAAATAAGTATTATTCTAGACAAAATTTCAATTTTGAAATTAGCAGGTTACATAAAGTATAATTTTTGTTTTCAAAAGATTCTTCATACCTTATTGGCTACTGTTATTTAAAAAAAAATTGGGGGTGGGGGAATGGCCTATAATAATGGGAGGCATATACAATTTTTGGGTATCTGAATGTTTTTAACCCTTCCTCAGTGTATTGATTTCGAATAGCATGTAGATACTTGTCCACGGAGTTTGGGATGACGTACATGAGCAAAGATGTATTTAAACTAATGTAGTCAGTCGTATTAACCTAAGACTCTGATTTTCTTTGGCAGGTTGGCTCTTTTGAACACAATCTCACAACTGATCTTCTAAACCACTTGGTGTTTGTACAGAAAGTGTTCATGAAGGAAGTGAACGAAGTGATACAAAAAGTCTCAGGTGAGTTGGCCGGGCACTTCATAGTATAGAACAGATAGCACACTTTTATTCACAGGGTTACGTGATGTTCCCGGATCTGCGGCAGAGTGCTGATCCTTTCGTTGGGGTGTAATTGTTGAGTGAGCCCCGAAAAATGACGTGTTCCTTGTCTGGTTTTCCCACCCAGATTCTTTTGCTTCTCACCTTTGTTACATGTAATATATAAATTCGTGGTTTATAAACTTCACAAAGCTCCTTATGCTTCCCTTCCAAAATAAAAAGGAAAAAAGTGAGAGAGAGAGAGAGAGAGAGAGAGAGAGAAAGCACTTAGGACATGTCCATTAACCAAACTAATACTACTCATTTGAGAACAAAATTTAGATCCATATTAAGATTTCCACCTTACCAGATGGTGACTGTATGCTGGCTACATGGTAAATTGTTTATAGCAACCCCTATATTTTTGCTGTCCCTCAAGTGTAGGTTACAATTGAGCTTCTTAATCATACTTTTAACAGGAAATATATGTTTGATTTAAAAGGGTTTAATTTACTTTTAATTCACAAGATAAAGTATTAAGAGGAATTAGGGTAGAAAACAAGTTGACTCTGTATAACAATTCTTGAGGCTGAATATTTCCAGTATAATATAAGCATGTTAAAATAACAGTTTAGCTACATCTGTAAATTTAATTCATAATGAGGTAAAAAACTGTGGCTTCTACGTGACTCATGTAATAGTGTATCTGATATTTCTATAAACTAAAATGATTGTGTAATACATTTTACAAGAGGTGACCTTTTGCTTTTAAATTGTAAGAAATTTTTGCCCTGAAACAAGATAAAAGATATTCAAGGTGGTGAATAGATCAACACAAAACAAATAGGCTTTTTTTTTTTTTTTTTACAAATAGACTTATTTTTAGGTAAAATTCACATATATTAGTTTCAGGAGTACAACATAATAATTCGATATTTGTATACACTGTGAAGTGATCACCACAATAAGCCTAGTTACCACCCGTCACCATACAAAGTTAAAAGATTTTTTTCTTTTTGTGATGAGAACTTTTAAGATTTACTCTCTTGGCAACTTTCAAATATGCAACACAGCATCACTGGCTGTTGTCACCATGCTGCACATGACGCCCCAGGACTTACTTTGTATCTGGCAGTTGGTACCTCTTGACCCCCTTCACCGATTTTGCCCACGCCCCACCCTCTTCCCCGCTAGGGACCACCAGTCTGCTCTCTGTATCTGCGAGTTTTGTTTTGTTTGCTCATTTGTTTTTTTTTTTTGATTCCTCGTGTAAGTGAGATCATATGGTATTTATCTTTCTTTGACTTATTTCACTTAGCAAAATACCCTCACAGTCTATCTGTGTTGTCACAAGTGGCAAGGGTTCCTTCGTTTTTATGGCTGAATAGCATGCCACTGTGTATATGCGTACAAACCACATCTTCCTTATCCATCCATCCAGCGATAGACACAGGTTGTTTCCATATTTGGGCTCTTTTAAATAATGCCGCAGTGAACACAGGGATGTATATGTCTTTTCTGATTGGTAATTTCTTTTTCTTCAGATTAATAGACTTTATTTTTTAGAGGATTTTTAGGTTCACGGCAAAATTGAAGGGAAGGAACAGCGCGTTCCTAATACCACTGCCCTGCCCCTCACAGCCTCCCCCACTATCAGTGTCCCCGCCAGAGTGGTACGTTTGTTCCAGTTTGTGAACTTACATTCACACAGCAGTGCCTGTTTACCGAGAATGAGCTAGGAGTTGTGGGTTCAGGAAATGTAGGAAGGCTTGCAGTAGTCGTTGTGAGGAGTGTGTTGGAGAAAGGACAAGATGAAGACGAGTCGCCAGACAGCATAGGTGCCTGGTGGTGTTCAGCCTAACTGACTGCGGGGCTGCTAAGGTACCGTGTGCTGAGGTCTGACAATACATGGCAGCTGCCCTTAGGACTCAGTCCAATTGGGGAGACAGATATGTGGGTAAGTAATAGAGCAGAGGTGGGTATTTTATGGCACACATCACGGAGGAAGAAGTGACTCAATTCTGATGTGTTGCGTAAGGAGGGCTTTGAATAAATTAATATGTGATGAAGGACTGAGAAGAGCATTCGGCACAAGTAAGCACTCACTGTCGTTAGGTATTAGGGTCAGTACAGAGGTCAGCTGGGTTGAGAAGAGAGGAAATGAATGAGAATGGAACAGGAGTATGAGGACAAAGGCATTTTAGGAAAGTGAGTTTAGGGAACAGTGCTATAAGAGGGATGTGGTTTAGAATTCAAATGATCGAAAGTTGAGGGAATGATGGTTTAATGTTTTAGAAATAACACTCGAAAGTAAGCCAACCACCATCCACTAGGTCAAAGGAGTGAGTGAGTGTGAGACTTAAAAATGATGGCACAACAGAAAAAGCCACATTTAAATGAGGTTAGGGAATCAGAGAAATGAAAAGATACTCTAAAACAATGAAGGTTTGTTGGGAGTAGCTGGAGCGCAGAGACAACAGGAATAGGATGGGTAGGCGACAGCTGGAAAAAAACATGGCTATAGGTAGGGTCATCAGTGATGAGGCTTGGGTAAGAGAGATGACTGTAGACTTGAAATAAAGATGGAGAGAGGAAGCACTTAGTTATAAGTTGGAAGAAAGGTAACCAGTGTACTGTGCTGTAAATTTCAGAGCAGAATAATTCAGAGAGGGAAGGTGCTAGCATAGGGGCAGGCCCTGAGCCACAGACATGTAGTCTGCCTCTTCCAGTGACAGATGTTTGAATCACTGTGTTCTGTATTATAGGCCCACAAATCTTGAATACTTTGGTCCCTGTCTATCCATCCATGTCATTTTTTCTCTTTTCCTGTGTGTTTATTCAAATAGATACATCTTTTTTTTTTCTTCCCTTGGGTCAAGTGTGTGCCCTTGCCTACCTTTTCTGCCTTACCTTGGATATGCCTTCTGTCCCATCTCTGCCTTTTTCTATGTCTTTCCTCCTTTTTTTTTTCTTTACTTTTCTGCCCTAGTGAAAACTAAATTACATTTTTATCGTAGTACTAGGATAGATTTTGACCCCTAGTTTAAATTTTGAAAGCCCATAAAAGATTAATTTCTCTCTCAAACAACCAAGACCTGCTTTTTATCTGTTTGGTTCTTAGTTTTTTTGATACATCTGTGGTCCCTAATAGGAAAACTTTCTCATCCCACCTGTATGTTCCCTGGGCTGATGCTGAACTCAACACACATACAAAAAGGTGGATTGTTTTAGAATAGAATAATTGAAAAATAAGCATGCAGAAAAGTTTTCTCAACAAGGAAAAGAGTAGTAGTTATAGAAGTTATACATTAAAATATTAGAGTATTGTTCCCTGAATGACATAAAAGGTCTGTTAACAGGAACTTTACTGCAGGGTCTCCTACCCCCATTTTTATTTTTTTAATTTACAGAACAATTTTTTGCTGTCACGTTCTTTATTATTAACATTTGTCACCTTATTTTTTATTTCTTCACCCTTATTTTTTTCTTTCGTTCGTTTTTATTTGTGGCACATCTAAATATAAACAACAAAGTTCGCATTTTTGATTAAAGAAAATAGTCCAGTTTACTTTTTTACCTCAAATATATTTTCTGACATGTAGAGTCGTTTAGTTTAATTATATGTATAATGTTTTAATTCAATCCTTATAAATTATTCTTAACAAATGTCTGTGTTTGCAGTATTATCTCCATCTTATATACACCTGCCTCAGTGAAATGAACTTGTTAAAGATTGGGTTAATGATCAGGGAAAAAAAAAAACTTTTATGTTTGGTTGTTTTTTTAATGCACAAAATAGTTTTTATTTTCCTTTTAAAGAAATTGTCCCAAATCCTCACTTATTTACCTCCTTTAGGCGGAGAGCAGCCGATTCCTCTCTGGAATGAACACGATGGAACAGCAGATGGAGATAAGCCAAAAATTCTACTCTATTCCCTGAATCTGCAGTTTAAGGTGACATATAAATAATGCTACTTAGAGGAACTTTCCTAATTAATTATTGCACGCTTATTATAGAAAATGCACATGATATGTAGATATACCAAATAGAAGATAAAAATGAAATATATCCACTCAAAGAAAAAGCTTTAACAATTGTTTGAATATCCTTTAGGACTTTATTTCTGTTTTTAAATATGCACATATTTCTGCATTTTGAAAAAGCCTTAGATGCCTTACCATGAAGAACATTTAGATCAACTTACTCTTCTCGAACAGCTGCACTATACAGTTAGAACAATTTATTTGATTTTTTCTGATTATTGCTGTTATAAATTACTCTGTAAAAAATACTTTATACACATGTCCAATTAACAGTAACACCTTAATAGAAACCTTAGTATTTCCAATATTTAAGATATTAGTATTCTTAAAAATCATTCTTTCCAAATAGTAATTTAATTGTGTTTAACCCATGAACAGTCTAGATATTAAATACAAAACATTGAAATGAAATTTAATAGCTAAAAATGTGTCTACTAAGGAGAAATTAAAGAATGTTGCCAGTTTTATCATTCATTAGATATCTTATATATGTTTTAAAACATTCTATTTTATTTATCAATATTGAAAGATTTCATTTGAGTGGGAAGAAATTGTTGATTTATGATTTTTTTTCCTACTAATATGTAATCTGCTAGGGTATTCAAGTAACGGCTACAACCCCATCAATGAGAGCTGTGCGATTTGAAACTGGGTTGATTGAACTGGAACTTTCGAACCGACTTCAAACCAAAGCTTCACCAGGAAGTAGCAGCTATCTGAAACTCTTTGGTAAATGCCAAGTGGATTTAAATCTGGCATTAGGACAAATTGTCAAACACCAGGTGCGTGCAGAATATGTGGACATTAGAACTGCGGCTTTTAAATTTTGCACATCAGTTTGAACTACTTTAAGAATTACTATACTTACAAAAATACTTAGGTTAAGTTTCTAAAATTTCTGATTGTAAATTCTAATGAAAACTTAAGGCCTTTACAATTTTCCATTGGTATTTCATTGAGTATTTTGGTGGTTTGTTATAGTTTAGGCAAATGCAATCACATGGAACTTAATCCAATATCTTCATAAATATTTGCTTATAATTTCTCTTTATTTTGTTAAACATTGATTTTTGTGCTAATATTGGTGAGTTTTTTAAATGTTGCTAGGTTTCCTAGCTGCACTGTATAATGTTGGCAAGTTTTGCATACCATAATGTTAAACATATAAAGTTAAATATTTTATATATATATTTACACGTACATACATAGTTAGACTTACAAAAAATTAACATTCACAGCTCGTAGGAGCTATTTGTTTTTATTTTGCTAAAGATTACGTAGATTTTAACCTTTTTTCCTTCTTTGATTTGAAGAACCGATTGAAAGAATACCAGTCGCACTTTCAAAATTGAATGCCTCTATTAAAGAATATGTGGGAAACAAATGAACAAAAAGTTTAAGTTATCTCTAGAAAAACAGTAATTTGTTCAAATGGAAACACATTTTGAGAGGAGCGAGGGTCTAACTAGTGGGTTGTCGGAAAAGTCATGACACATTTTTTGTAACGAAAAACAGAAAAAGTACGTCATGACTTTTCTGACAACCGAATATCTTGAAACATTTAATTTATTGCCATTCAGACTGTGGATGTCATCCTAGCTTTTGTATGAACTTTTTGTTTGACTTTATATTTACTTCTTATACACCCATTTATATTGTATATTAATTTCAAGTGTTTATAGTATAGAGTATAAGGAATGTATACCATCGATGAATGAAATTTAGAAAAATGCACCACTTATTTTGGTGCATAATATCAGTAATAGTGTTATGACTTGTAGGATTTTTTATTAAGACATTTTCCATTATTTGATGTTATGGAGCGTTTCATTTTCTTTTAGGTTTATGAGGAAGCTGGCTCTGATTTTCATCAAGTTGCCTATTTTAAAACCAGAATTGGGTTAAGAAATGCCCTCCGAGAAGAAATCAGTGGCTCTTCAGATCGGGAGGCCGTGCTCATAACCTTGAATAGGCCTATCGTGTACGCACAGCCTGTGGCTTTTGACAGAGGTGAGCTCAGTCAGCAGGGCTGCCCTGTTGGTTTAGAGTCACTGTGGTGATGCTGGATGAAAACCATCTGTAGTGCACAGTGTAAATGCTTGGCAGCTGGCTGTCTCCTAAACCCGGAACGGGAGCCTCCCAGAAGTTTCTTGTTTATGCCCTTCAGTTTTTAAAGTTATTTTACTTTTTGCTTTTGATGTGGATTATAATGCCAAGTTTTTGGTTTGGATAACTATTGTACCCACTTACTTGGCGCTGTCTTTATTTACTTGCTCTACAAACATTTATTGTGTGCCGTCTAGAAGTGGAATGTGAGTATGGGAAGCAGTATCCCCCCTCCAGGAACTCTCAGTCCAGTAGGAAGGGTGGAGTTAGCGATCGGGGTTCTGGGCCCTCAGGGAGCCTGTGCTGCTTGGAGGAGAAACTAATTCTTCAGGTTCGACTTGGAGTCAGCTCACCAGGGAGACAAGGGAAGAAAAGCTGGCTTTATTTGCATTTCTATCTGAAGTCCTAGAACAGTCCCTGGAATATATATCATAAGAACTAAATAAATATTTACCAAACGAGAGAGAATATGAACGAATACGTCTGAGCACAGAGGTTTAAAAAAATATAGCAGCAGTGCACATAAAAGGAAATATTGGGGAATACGGCTGAACAGATAGAGAGGGTCTGATTAATGTATATTGGGTAATGTTGGGTAATGTATTTTGGAATTGTGTCTTAGAAGTAATGAAGAACCATTTAGGAAGCCGTTTAAGATTTAAATGGGTGGTAGGCTTTGGCTGCTAAGATGATCAGTTTGTTGGGAAACTGCCCTTTTGTCAGTGTCATCGGTAACATTTTATTTTGCTAAATCCAGTGCATGTTTCTTCACTTCTCATCTTGCCGACCTCTCACCAGCTTTCAACAGCTCCTTAAAGAACCTTTCACTCTTGCGTCCATGACATACACTTGCTTTTCCTTATCCTTCTCTGGCCCCTCCATCTTTACCTCCTCTTTAGGCTCCTTCTTCTATACAGGGCACTAAATGAAGGTTTTCTGTAAGATTTCAGTCTTGTTACAAACTCCAGTGCTTTGACCTCTCTCTCTAAACCCCACCTTTTTAATGTATTATGTACCTCTCCTGGTACGATGTACCTCTCCTCCACGAATTTTTAACACTGAAACAGTAAGCTCTGTGAGGTCAGGGACCATGTCTGTTTCTGTTTGTTATTTCATCCCAGCACCTAGCATATGATAGGCATTTCACAAACAATTTGTTGAGTGAATGACTGAATGGACCTGGATTTTCTTCTTCCTTTTGCAATTATGCAATTATCAGCTTTCTGCCTTTTTTCATTTTTCACATTGACTCTATGCCCTTGGATCCTTTCTAATTCAAATGCTACAATTTTCTGGGAATAATTTTTATAGATCATTAGGAATTTGTAGCTATTGAAGTTTATTATTTTATGGTTTTGATTTAAATTTTTTTTCTGCCCTGCCTTAATGATCAAAAGCTGTGCTGTTTTGGCTGAATTATAAGGCTGCCTATGACAATTGGAATGAACAACGGATGGCTTTACATAAGGATATTCATATGGCTACAAAGGAAGTGGTAGACATGCTACCCGGCATCCAGCAAACATCTGCCCAGGCCTTTGGGACGCTCTTCCTGCAGCTCACTGTGAATGACCTGGGCATTTGCCTGCCCATCACAAACGCCGCACAGGTACGAAACTCAGACCCTGGTGCAAGGCCAAGGGCCAGGCGTCTCTGCTAACCGGTTCTGTGTACCTAGAGTATAACAACAAATTTTTCAGAATGCTTTATAACTTGATTTTGGTAAACAAGTAAGATTGAGCTCCTTCAGCCATTTTTCATCTTCAGAGATGAAATGCTAATCTCTTGAGACTTTTAGAATAGGGATAAGATTGACACCCATCTGATAACTTGATGTCTACCTTGACAAATAAGCAGCTTCGTTTTCAGAATCTTTTTATTGTTCTTGTTTTTTAGGAAGGAAGTCTTTGGCATACACTTGTTAATAAAATAGAAACAAAAGAACATGTAAGAATACTACTCAATAATGTTTAAAACCACAATTAAAACAGGGTAGGGAATTTTAAAATGCTTTTAAATTAATATCGAATGGTAATGAAAGTTTCAAGGTATGTGTACACCTGGATAAAGTAAGAATTTTCCCTTCATAATTTGGGGCCGATTCTCAGGAACACATGTTTGTACACACACGTGTGTGAGACAGAGAAGGCTGTGAACGCCTGTCAGGCCAAGAAGTTGCAGTTATAACAAATACCAAGGCCTGTATTTTACTGTCATAATTCACCTTAGATAGCCTGTAAGCAGCTATTGTTTAGCATTTTGTTGGGAAGAGAGTGTTAAGAAAAACTCTGGCTTGAGGATGGGCAACATGGGGTATGTTTGTGTGTCAGAGATGAGTGGTAACTTTTTAATGGTGTGATGAGCAGAGCTTAGGAAGGCTGCACACACCAAGGGTGGTTGTCACAATGAGAATGCGCCCCACAGCTAACACAGCAGCTTGAGAGAGAAAAGTAGATAATTAGCCTTTTGCAAGTGTAGTTAAAAAAAAATGTACTCGGCAAATGCATTTTTTCACTTGAGCAATCTAATTTTTAAAAGCAGGCGTCTTTCTAAGCTGCTTGTTAATGAAGCTTTCTGGGCTGACCCTTTTTGGATTTTTGTTCCTATGAATCCTAATTTTAAAAATCGTCACCTTTTGTCTTATTCCTTCTTTAATGTATTTTGCAGTCTAATCACACTGGCGACCTTGACACTGGCTCTGCCTTGGTATTGACCATTGAAAGTACGCTCATCACTGCCTGCTCTTCAGAGTCTCTGGTTAGCAAGGGACACTTCAAAAACTTCTGTATCCGTTTTGCGGACGGCTTCGAGACGTCATGGGATGACTGGAAACCAGAAATTCGTGGGGATCTGGTGATGAATGCCTGTGAGTGTCTTTTATTTTCTGTATGTGGTTTAGAATTTCTAAAAATTAAAAAGAAAAACAACCGAATGTCTTCATTTTTAAGAGTAAAGGATGTTCAGATATAGGAGTTATTGAATTTTGTGAAATAGGGGCTTTTTAAAGATATAAGAACATACTGGGTTGTCGGAAAAGTCATGGACGTATTTTTTCTATGGTTTTCGTTGCAAAAATGCATCATGACTTTTCCGACAACCCAATATTTGTGAAAAAATGCAGCTTTCAGTAGTGTTGGTAAGTAAACCAACTAGCTATTCCTTTGCTGGTATGACATTTGAAGGTTTGATGACTACCTGATTTTTTCTGTAACTGAGTCACACATGACCAGATAAAACATCTTTGTTCAATGGGGAACTTAAAGGAAGGTGATAAATATGTAAGGTCCAGTTCATCATATGACACAGAACAGTTGTCGATGACCAGGAGCAAGAGGCCAGCCTTAATCGATACTGACGTGAATAAACCCACACATCCCGGTTTGTAGGATATGAGCGTAACTTCTATGGATCCTTCCGAGTCCATAATTCTCAAGGTTGGGAGTAACTAAAGCTGTGTTTATATGCTATTTTGAAGTGTAGGGGATTCTGTTTATCCATTTTAATATTTTAAATATTATAGCAGAGTTGATAAAGTATCATTAATCTTAATGAAGAAAAAGTATATTTGAAGAATGAATGGTTGTGAACTAAAATTTCTCAGCCGATCTTGTAAGCTAACATGAAAACTGGGTTACTTTTCAGAGGGTGGTAGGCCAATGTTTATGCAGTTTTTTCCCCCGCTTCACTGGAAGACAGTCTTATTTCCAGTTCTGGGTTTTCTTTGTGGAACAGGAAAACTTTCCATTATTTTTATGTCAAAAATTGAAGTTTTGGCATTCAATGTTGACTAAAACTTAGATAAAATTATAGGTGAAATTCTTGGCTTTGGATGCTTTACATTTAGATAATTCATAGGTAAAATACTAGGATTTCTTTGAAATCTTCAGGTTACTGAAAAAACTTTGTATCTAAGTACACACACCTAATATCCAAAAGACCAAAAATAGCCTTCACCAGAAATCTTCACAAATAATCATTTTACACAGTTATATATATTTTTAAAAGTCACTATAACTGTCTTTCGGTATTTTTTCATAAAACAAAATAAATTTAAACCTGATTTTTATTAAGATGACATTTTGCAATCATTATAGTCATTAAAATGGTAGAATATATTTGGAAGAAAGTATACCATTTTCTTAAAGGGAAAATGCATACGATATATGCCTCTGACTCAAAATCAAAACCATAATAAAAAATACCAAAGGTGCCCAAAAAAATGTATACAAGTGGACACTTTGGTCAACGTTGCTCAAGCAGTAGTTCGCCATAATCAGAAGTGTCTGGACACTGATGGTAACCACTTTGAGCACCTCTTGTAATTGCAGAAGTCAAACATGACTTGTATTCATCTTTTGTTATCGGTATATATTGAGTATTACAATTTTAATACAGTTTTCCTTTCTTAAAATGTGTATCCATTTTTTTGGCACCCTCTGTGTAAACAATAACTCAGTGTGTATTATCCCAACAAAGTAGAACAGTGACATGCTGATAACTGTGATAGTCATAATTTATTTTGGGTTTTAGAGGGAATTAAATGACTTAGTTTTGTAACATGCTTGTTTTTTGGTATCTTGGGAGGGAGGCACGGAATGAGTGGAGTAATTGTTTCCTTGATATAATTATAAGAGTTCCAAAATTTAAAATGGGTAAATTAGTGTACTACTTTTTACTGGTAGCTTTTATTAGTAGTAAGTATACTTGAATATAACTAACATTTAATATTTTTGAAAAAGTAGACTTGAGTGTAGGGTAGAGAAATAAGGAACAGTAAGTAGGACTATGCCTTAGGATATTTTTACAGATCATTTCAAAATCATCCCCTAGAAAAAGATGTCCCAGTCAGATTTCCTCTATAGGTGATAACGTTTTTTTTTGGGAAATGCACTAAAAATTAGAAAAGCCAATCTTCCAAAGGAGCATGTAAGTAAAGAGTAAAGATTAAAAACGCTTTTCAGTAACATATACTTAGAAAAATGACATAAACCATTTAAGAAGTTTGAAAGACTGAAACACTCGAAGCTCTCTGTTAGCACCTGGGTAGCATTCGGTCATGAGAGTAGGGAATTACCATCCTGGATTCAGAATACTCTTTGGTCCAACCCAGCATTGTGTCTCTGATGCATGGACCACGGTACCCCAGGGAAGAGCCTCGTCAGTTTTCTACTCCTCACTTTCAGGATTTGGATCTGCTCCTGAAAATCTATATTTCCTTATTAATTCATCATGACTCTGTATTCTATGAATTTATGTAATTATTTTTAAAACTTAATTAAAAAAAAATTCTTTGACACTTCTTGAGATTGGACAGCCCATAAGTTTTTAACTCTTTTTTATTTACTATTGTAGTTCTGCCTTGGCCTCAATTATGTTACTCAAATTTCAAAGGGTTTTCTTTTCATTCTAGCATTCTTAGATTTGAAAGGGTAATCTAGTTTCTTTTGCTCTGAATTAAGCCATGACTGAAGGCGAAATGGGTGACCTTTTTTCCCAAAAAGATCTAGTTCTTTCTTATTTTATAATTGTATGTGAGGCACATGTACTGTATGTTTCAAAAATACAGTTTAGATTTTAAAGTCGTTGGCACTATCTTAAAAAAGAAAAAAAACACGTAATAGAATTTGTCACTTAACAAATAGATCCTTTCTCCCAAAATTAGATGTAGTTTTTCTACAACTCAGATTCAGGTAACATTTGAAGACCAATTAGGATACATTGTGAATTGCAAAAGGACGTTTCGTTTAAGATGTATGTACCGTCAGGTTTAGATTGAAATTTGGTTCCATTAAGGATTACTGAGAAAGGATCTTAATTCTGTCTTTAGACTTTAGTTTGTTTAAAAGTTGTTTCAAGGATGGTATGTCCTTTACTCTTTAAAATTGTTGATTAATTAACTTCTCTCTTTGAAGCTGACATTCAGATTAAAGCTAAGTGCCAGTAAATGTTTCAAAGTTTAAGTCAGATGTTCTGGGGATAGGTCTAGGACCTTAGTAGATGGACATCATGGCAGCCAGTCATTTTTTTTCTCATAAAATGTTCCTCGTCAAAGGAAAGGACGAGGCTGATGAATCATGTCTGTGACCTATGTGGTGGTTCTTAGTTATCATTTTAAACCATTTGTATTCTCAAAGTGCCATTCGCTCATGATGACACAAATTGTCATAGCATCCAGGAACTAGCGTTTCAGAGTCAGCCAGGTGCTGTCACTCAGATGAGGAAATCACATACAGAACGTGAAGATAAAACTATAGTTGAATTCTTAAAATCATAGAATAAAATACTCTGAGATCAGAAATAGATGTTATAAGTCATCTACGGCAGCCCTCTCGTTCTTCAGATTAGAAACTGAAACCTAGAGAAGCGAGCGATCCTATTTATGTTTAGGTAATAATCTTTGGGTGAAATATTGTAGTATAATATTTAATCACCAGCCTAGTTCTATTGAAAGCTGTTTTGGGGTGCTTTCTGTGCAGGTGTAGTTCCAGATGGCACTTATGAAGTATGTTCCAGGACCACAGGACAAGCGGCAGCCGGTAAGTTCACATTTGGTATAACTTTTGCTCCACACGTCAGGTAGAATTCTGCCTTTACATATATAGTTTTTTTTCTGCCTTTATATTAATAGTGAGAGGATCTTTTAACTAAACTTATTCTGGCGTTCCCAAAATTTTCAAAACATTTTGTGATATTACTAACATTTTTATTTATTTAACAGTTATTAGACACCTATTATGTATAAGATACACTGTAAAGTGTTTTGGGAAAGACAAAGATGAATAAGATATACTTTCTACTGTATAAATTTAAATTTTAATAATTGTAGTCAAGGCTTTGCAGCATAATTAAACTGTAATATGTGATGAATACAATAAATGTAAAGCCCCAGTTGCTTTTGGAAATTACAGGTGGGAGAGAAAATTTCCAAATTTGGAAGGATAGTAGGATCAGAGAAAGCCTTATGGAAGAACAAGCATTTAAAAGGGGACTTGAAAGATGGATAAAATTGTTTCTTAAGCAAAAACTGGGAGGTGTCAGTCATGATGGCAAAATACAGCGTCTAGTTAGAATTGCCCAAATTGGCTGGAACAAAGTTATGTGAAAAATAGGATGGGAAAAAATCTGAAACCCCACAATAAGGAGTTTGACTTGAGTTGGTGGACAGTGGGAAAGCCATTGAATTTTTTTGAGCAAGAAAGTAGAAGGCGACTGCATCAAAGGGACACTTTCAAGGGTGAGAGAGGAAAAACCCTAGAAAACCAGTCAGGAGATAACTATAGAAGTAATAAGATAGCGCAGTATACATTTTTATTATCTTGGCCCTGTTCTAAAATTAACAGAAGCTAAAGGGAGCTATTTATTTAAGGGCTCTGAAAATGTTGAAGGGGTAGAAGCTGATGAGGGTTAGTAGCTTGCCTCTCTGTCCCTGCTGTTCCCTCTGATCCTCCCCAAGCGCAGCTTCAGTGAATTGTCCCAGAGCAGCAAGGCTGCCAGTCCCCACTGACAGGGGACCGACAAGGGTAGGTCATTCCCCGCTGTCAAGTTAGAAGGAAACGTGATAACCAAGGTAAATATATGGATTGGGAGTAAGGTCACATCGCAGTCTTTGTCAGGACTCTTGTGTAGAAGTGATAGCAAGCCCCTCAAAGTCACTTAACCGAAAGGGGGAGCTTACTAAAAGGCTGTTTGCAGACCACAGTGAAAGTTGGGAATGGCTTTCTCGGTGACAGGCAGGAACCAGGTCCGTTGAGGGGCCCTCAGGAACTACAGGACCTGCTGTCAGCAGGACTCTCTCTTCGGGGTGCTTCATGGCGTCTCTCTGCTCACCTCCTCCTGACACATGGCGACTAACATGGCTGCCAGCAACTCAGGAGCCAACTCCGTCATCACTAGAGAAGGACCAGCCTCCTCTCAAGTCCACGGAAGGATTCTTTTCCAACATTGACCCTCTCCCAGACTAATTACCTGATTAATTCTGGCTAGTGAGCGAGGGCCGTGGGAAGGGCGATGAGCGACCGCACAGCTCGTAGGACAAAGGGTGCTGCACAGCGCGAGCCGTTGGGAGACCAGCCCCATGGCCCCGTGTCCTGACAGACGTAGCTGCGAGAGACGGTGGTTATGACACAGGGCCATCATCCATTTTATTCCTTAAATGTAGAGTTACTTAAATATCTACACTCGAGACTGACCAGAAATGCCACTTTATTTCAACAGAAAGCAGTAGCGCTGGGACCTGGACGCTCAATGTGTTGTGGAAGATGTGTGGGATCGATGTCCACATGGACCCAAACATCGGCAAGAGGCTCAACGCCCTGGGCAACACCCTGACCACGCTGACCGGAGAGGAGGACCTGGACGACATTGCCGACCTGAACTCCGTGAACATAGGCGACCTGTCGGATGAGGACGAGGTGGACACTATGTCTCCCACCGTCCACACTGTAAGTACACTCACCGTTGGACTTTTCCTGACTGGCTTTTACCCTGAGGCAGGGATGTTATTAACCCAACAGTATTTATTATATTGTCGCTGCTAACTGGGGAGGAAGGAAGGGAGTGGTGGTTCCTGTGTCTACATTTCCTAATATTGTTTTTTTAAATTTCATAATACTGCCTTTTAATTGAGTCCTTGTTTCTTAATAATGACTGTTAACCAACCAACCTGTGCCCTGACCTACGGGCAGCGTGCTAACGTGAAAAGTGCAGGCACATCTGTGGAGACAGAAAGTAGAGCAGTGCTCGCCCTGGCCCACGAGCTGGTGGTCGGGGAGGGGAGGGGAACCACTGCTGAGTTGCCAGGTTTTGTTTGGGGGGCTGGTAAAGAATGTTCTGACCAGAGTGCAGTGCTGGTCTCACAGCTGTGTGAATGTCCTAAAGAACACTGAATTGCACATTTTAAATGGGTGAATTTTATCGCATGTGAGTTATCTGTGAAGATGTTAAAAAACGAAACTCAAAAACAAAGTGCATGCACACGAAGTGAAGTATACATTTAAAAAATATGTATTTCCATTTATACTGTACATTTTGTAGATTACTCGATAGTTAACCCTCTGCTTTTATTCTGGTATTATTTATAAACTTTTAAAAATATGTTTTTACTGTTGTGCCATGAAATAGTTTCGTTCTTGGAAAGACATTCTTTTGAACCTTGCTGTCCCTGTTTATATTTAGAGTTCAGACGGAAGTTCAGTAAGTGGAGATGGCCACAAGCTCACCTTTGGGCAGCGACTTGTAAACCACCTGCTAGGCCTGACGCCCCCACATCAGCGCTATTCTGTTCCTGCAGAGTATCTGTGCGACCCAGAGATGGGGGGCTCCCCTCAGGCTAGCCAGTCCCATTTGAAAGTGTGCAGAGCCCACTCGTGGGGAAACGTAGGTAGCAACTAGATTCCTTATGAACACGAAGGGATTCGAATCACTGGACTCCAATCACCGTACTTGAATAGATGGCTTTGATTCTTGCATGCTCCCTTTGATTCAAATGTCATGTTTGTGATAGTGTAGATGTGCCATGTGACCCAAGGACGGTACTGACAGGCATGCGTGCATTTTTTCAGGAAACTGTGGAGTATCGGAGACAAGGCGCATCTTGCAGCCAGCCAGGAGAACTGAGAGGAAGAAAAACGATGAAGCGTATAGTGGATATCAGAGAGTTGAACGAACAGGCCAAGGTCATCGATGATCTTAAGTATGCGGCATGATTCTTTCTACAGTATTCCCTAATAATAGAATCATAGGGTTTTAAATAGTTTACCAACGAGATGACCAAGGTCCAGAGAAGTTTGGAAATTTGCCTGAGTTCCTGTCTAGTGCTCATCACAACTCCCCGTTTCTGAGCAGCTTATGACTGACTATATATCACATGTACGTATCTCTACATGTATATGTACACTTGCACATATCTTCACGTGCATATGCAAATACACGTATTAGTCTTTTGCTCACAGAATTTCTGGAATTCACATTTTTAAGAGGGCGAACAAACTCAGCATTTATTAAGTCCCTATTGTACATTTGACATGTTAGCTCAGTTTAACCTCCACAGTATTTCTGTGAGGTTAGATGGCATTATCCAAACTTTAGAGTTGTGAAAACTGGCTAGGAAGAGTTAAAGAATTAAAATGTGCACTTGGGTGTGCCTGAGTTCACAGTGCATGCCTTGTTTTGCCTGCCTGTATTAACGGTCCTGGAGGACTCAAGTGGGCGTAGGGTGAGTCAAGAGGGTAAGTAGGTGGTAGGAATTTATTTTTCTTTGTCTGTTGCCTGCTGGATATAGAACTAAGTAATAACTTCCACTATAAGTCTAACTGTTCTTCTTGCCAAACTTTGAAAATTTTGTTTTTAAAAAAATCACCCGAAAGGTGATAGTCATGCCTCATCTTTTCTAATCTTCATACCTGTGGTTTTTTTGCATTCAAGAACTTTACACAACTCGATGCATTCTGTACAATGAAAGGTATTACCTAAAAACATATCTGTAAATTAATTATGATATAATGATTCACATTTTCCTGTTTACTTACATTACAGTTTTAGTTTTGTTCTCAGGGGAAAAAATGACTTGAAGCAAAATATACTTCCTCCTCTAAAGCCTTACATACAGTTATATGTAGAATTTTACACACAGACGCTCTTATGCAGAGTGTTCCATAGCTTTCATAAGCTTGTCAAATAGACTCTTGATGCAAAAATGGATAAGAACCATTTCCTAAAACATAAGAGCGAGCTTCTTAACAGTTTGCCAGGTATGAGTGTTAACTTTGTGAAAGATTTTGGCTTGTCCTCACATAATCTTGGATATTCTGAAAAATGAAACAAAAAGAAGTAAAAATCAGTTATACTTTGTTACTTTTTTACATTAATTGCTGTATCTGTTATGCATCCAGAAAATTAGGTGCAAGTGAAGGGACCATCAACCAAGAAATCCAACGTTACCAGCAGTTAGAGTCTGTGGCTGTGAATGACATTCGAAGAGATGTTCGTAAGAAATTACGGAGGTCCAGTATGCGAGTGAGTCAACAATTACAGAGAATTTTATTAAAGTAGACTTTTTATTTTTTACTTCATGAAACTTGATGATGATATTTACGTTTGTTCTCTTACTTCCTCCATTGCTGGCGATACCACCTGGTTTGTACATCTCGTATCTGCTGTGTACCAGGCACTGTTTAAAGCACTTTACTTTTAATAACCCATGAACTCCTTACAACAACCTTATGGGGTAGCTTGTATTGTTTGCCCCATTTTAAAGATGAGGAAACTGAGACACAGAGGTCAAGTAATGTGACCAAGGTTATACAGCCAGTAGTCCCAATGGAGCCAAGAGTCAGACCCAAACAGTGGGGCCCGGCAGTCTATGCCCTTAGCCACCATGTTTTGTCTACCTTTCATGAAGTCAGACTTTCCTTTTAGTCTAACTCAAATGTGCAGTCTTTTGAGGTGTCCGTTCTTCCCCCATTCCACTCCCTCAGCTGTTCACCTCTCAGCCACTGTGTGTTCTCAGCACCTCATTCTTATCCTTACCATTTGCGCGTCTGTTCACCCTTACTAGAGTTTGTTTCTGAAAAGAGAATTTCTTTCTGTCTGACCCCCACTGCCACCACATTTCCTGGGGCTGAGTCCGGTTGCTGAGCAGTTGAAATATACAGCTATACTATAATCATATCGTAGAAAATAATTCTAAAACTTATCCAAATAGAAGTAGGTTGCTTTGGGTCAAGGTGGTCTTGTTAGTGGAAAAGCTATTTTTAAAAAAAAGATAAATGGGTTCTTAGCCTTTTTTTTTAATAATCAACCGAGTCCTCCATTTTTTACTAGAATAAGGATTTTGGTTGGCCCCGCAATACATAGAAACAGATTCAATTGGAGCTGCTGGGTTGGAGGAAGCGGGAGAGGACCAGGCATCCAGCGCTTGTTGGCTTGAACTTTCTTTCCTGGATCGCCCCAAAGCCCCAGACAACCTAGTTTGAATACTATTCTAAATTATTTAAAGTTAAAGTCCAGTTTGAGTTATTCGTTATTGGCTTCTGATACTAATAAATGGGTAATGATCTATAATGCATAATCCTGTATTTAAAATTTTTGCTGCTATGTACCTCATATTACAATATAATTAAAATATTGCTCGCATACTGTCTATAAGGTAGTTTATACTTGGTAATTGAGTGCTAAGAATAAAACGAGGTAGAGCTGATTAGGGAAACCAGTGAAGCTACATCTGAGTTCCTAGCGTTGGTGTCATTGGTCATCTTCCCTCAATTCGCGTTCAGCCCTTCTGCATCGTACATCTCCACTGTATTCGAGTCCTTGTCACACTTGGTCACCTTTGGAGAAGAGGGGTCTGGAGACAGGAGAGTGTTCAGATCATCCCTTCACTTCCTGCAGTGAAGCTCTGTTGCAGGGGTGCTCTGGGTGGGACTTGAGATGATTGACGGTCGCTCCTCCCACTCTTTTCCTCATTTCCTGCCCCTTTTCTTTCCGTCCTGATGGTTCTGATGGTCTCCTTTCTTCTCCCTGTCTGTGCTGCCAGCCTCTTTTCTCTCCGGCCAGCAGGGTCTCTCATTTTCTTGTGCAGCTTTCCCCAGTGACCCAGGACTAAGGAGCTGATTCATGCGCTCCTCTGATCCACCTGAGTCGTTAAGTGACTTTCAGAGTGACTCCTTATCGATGGGGGAAGTGAGCTAACATGTTTATAGTAGAATATTTTATCTGCAGTCAGATATTACAGTAGTAAACAAGTGCCTGAAGTCACCCTTTTTCTCTCCTGTTTCATTAGGCTGCTTCCCTAAAGGATAAGTGGGGCTTGGGTTACAAACCAAGTTACAACCGGTCGAAAACCATTTCTGCTTCCGGAAGACCACCTCTTAAGCGAATGGAACGGGCAAGGTAACGTGTTCCAACAGCGAGCCAAGTAGTTGTTTCTGACTCCTTTCCCGAGGCCCACCACGTGTTTATTGTGTTCTACTTGGGGAAATTATAAAGTTATGATAGCAAATAGGGACCTTATGAGTCAAATACCGGTGCTAGTGGATGCTGTCACACTGAGAAGTTTATCTGAGGAATTCCTCTGTCACATTTATACCAGTCATTGTGTGCTTTGTAGTAATGAAGTACATTGCTATTTAGACAAGTTTTTGTGTAAACTTCTAGACTCTCCAAAGAAATGAAAATGTGCATATTAGTAGCTGCAGCTCTAAGCTTGTCATTTTAGAAAAGGCATGATTGCACACACATTTAGCATATGAAAAAATGGAAAATTTCATATATTATTGATAGAATACTACTGTGTTACTAGTAAATGAGCACTATAAAGTAAAAATTATAAATTCTTTTTTATATGGTTTAGTTTTAGGAAATCTTATGTTAATCAAAACATTGAATATTTTTTTATGGGATGCTAAAGGTTAAGAAATGGGATACCAAAAGTTCAATCCTTGAGTAAGGTGATTATTTAGAAATAGAACATTAATGTCATCAATCAGACTTTTATAAAGTCCAGGGATTTTTTCCAGCAGGAGTGCTCATGTTTTATAACTTCCTCTGTGACTTTCAGCTCCCGAGTAGGGGAAGCCGAGGAGCTCCCGGAAATCCGCGTTGATGTAGCGTCCCCTGGGCCCCGAGTGACCTTCCACATTCAAGATACGGTAAGAGAGAGACGATTTCTTAGAGACGCACAGTGCTGAGTAATGTTAGTGATTGCAGAAGTATACTAGCTATGCCATTTCAAATAACTGGCTGCGACCCACAGTGAAAGTGTGCACTGTGATGGCTGATGGCTGTCCATTTCCAAGTAGCGGGACACTGCCCACCAGCTAGTGTTACGCATGTAGAATAAAAACGCAACTGCTTGCGCTCACATCGAAATGTTTCATTGAATAATTTTATTTCCAATTGTGACTCCCCATTAAATTGGGTCTTATACACAAATATAAATGTGGAATGTTTATACATATTTTATTGCTTGTGTATTTTAGTGTAGAATGTGTAGAAATAATAGCAGAAACCAGACGCAAAAAGGGCAGCTTCAAAGTTGTATTCTAATTTTATAGCATACTAAAAATGTTTGTTTTGTTTTTTGTATATTTATGTACTTTTAAACCATTGTTTTTGGGGTTTTTTTAATGAGTTTTTATAATTTTTTTATTATTTTAATTAAGTTGAAAAAAACAGTATGGGGAAGCACACCACAATCCAGCTGTCCCGGGGAAGGGTATTTTCAGGTACTTATTAAGAACAACACAAATTCTGCTTCACAACTAATTAACCACCTTGAAAATCTACTTTCAAAATGTCTTCCTCTTGTTTCATACTAAACTCAGACCTCAAAAATATTTTACATAAAAGGTTAAGATTGTTTGAGCTCTTGCATAAATATATTTTAGTTCTATACTTCTTTATAGTTTAATATTAAGTATCTAATGTCCAAAATTAAAAGACTAAATCAGCTTACCAAATTAACTCAACCAAATCATAAACTAGAAAATGGAACTTATTACAGTCATTAGCAAATCCATGAATGAGTCTCTTTTCCCCACATTCAACTATAAAGTGAATCTTTGTTTAAAAAGATTAGTTACGTAGTTCAAACTAAAATCAAACATATCTCAGAATAACAGATCAATCATTAAGTGTTATTTCTTATGAGTCACTGGTGTAAAAAATGTATAGAAACAATCCATTTTAAAAATTCTCATGTTCAAAATGGAGTGGAAAATGTGCAACACAATCATTTATAAAATGAATTAACATTTTTATGAGCCAAATATTTTCCCTAAATAGAAGTCATAAAAGTAAAACTGAATTTTTAAAATGTATGTACATATCAGTTATATTAACCTTTGTCTGGAAACTTTCTGCCAAGTTACATTTAAAACTGGCACTTATTCCACATATATTTTGTTTCCCTTCCCCCTAAGCTAGAGTCTGAATATATATCCCACAGTTCTACTGAATTTAGTTAAACTGAATTTTGTTTTAGAACTATTAGATTATAATATAGTGAGCTTGATAAACACATCCTTTTCTTATTTTCTAAAAATAAACTTGGAAATAAATCATGTACAGTGAATTGAATGGATTGTACTAATTAAGTTGATTCTTTTTTTTTTCCTGTCCAACACTTTTAAAATTGATATAATTGACATACAATATTATGTTAGTTTCAGGTATACAGACTAATGATTCAATATGTGTATATATTGGGAGATGATTAAGTGATTTTTGAAATACATTAATATTTGAATTGATTCGAGTCCTATTTTTAAATCGCATACACTGTTTATAAAAAATAGTATATAAAAATCATAAATTACAGTATAGATCATTAAGACATGGTTAAATATAAAATAAATATAAAACAAGAGATATCTGTCTACATAAACTCTTAACCACAGTTTTAAAAATTGAAGATGTTCTGATAAAATCTGGTTTACTTATTTACTAAATAACATGTATATTATAAAAAGTGAAGAAAATCTGAATTCTGCAAATGTTTGAAATTTTGAACTAGGAAATTAGACTTTCACTAGCTATCTTATAGTAGCATCAATAGAATGTGTCACCTTGCACATTACGCTTTACAAAGGCTTATCACATTCTCAAAGGATACTCAAGCAACTCTCAGAATTGGGAATCGAAAGTAGGTCATAGGACATTTTGTTGTTTCTTTTACCTGCTAAGCACTGTGGCCTCCAGGTGCAGCCCTCAGCTAGTGACATGGCGTGTATACAAACTGTTCACCTTCATATATAGCATTCTTAAGCTCAGTTGAGTAATATGTTTGATTACAAAACCATTTGCTTTCTTCAACCCGTTAGGGACTCATTTTTAAAAGACATGTCCACAAAAGTCACCTACAAGCACGTGTAGTTCTGTCCCAGCATCTGCATGCTCTTCCGTCACTAAGTGCTCTCTGGCTTTCTCATTTACAGTTGATCACATTGTTTCCTTTGTCTCCACAGCATGTTTAATTTATGCTTGAAATAATTACGATATGTGCTAATTAATATGTTTCTATAAAGTAAGCTTTCACTCTACTGTTGACACTGTCGGTGGTGTGACTTTCTGTGGTTTCACCTGCTTCCTCCCTTGCTGGGCCATTGCATATGTTCTTAATCGGACCTTTCTTTCAGTTCAGAGTGAGGAAATTGAACTCTGAGAAAATTTTTAAATGTTGAAACATATGTTTGCTCTTTTTCCTTTTTTTAATTGAGAAGAGATTCATGATTGAAACTGCTTCATGTTTGCTCTTTTGACAATCAGTTCCCAGAGGAGACGGAGCTGGACCTTTTGTCAGTGACCATCGAAGGCCCTGCCCACTACGCATCGCCTGGCGAAGGGCCGTGCTCCGTGTTCAGCCCCAGGACGCCAGGAGCCTTCCCACCCGGCGTTGCTATCCAACCTGAAGAGGGCCGCCGCGAGGACAGCCTGTCTTCTACCAGTGAGGATTCGGAGAAGGACGAGAAGGATGAAGACCATGAGAAGGAAAAGTTTTATATTTACAGGAAACCTTCGTGAGTAGCCTTTTTGTTTGAAGATCCTTAGGTAGGATCGCAGAATCTGGAACTGAGCATAGAGCATTATCTGTAACTGATGATTCTCACAGAAAAAAACCCACAAAACCTTAATGTGCGTAGCCAGAGTGAGACTAATAGACATATCCTTGGCTTACTACAGTCGTTTAGCTCCATACGGCATTGTTTTTTTCTTTTCCTGTTCTTCTGCATTTTCATAAAATCTAGGAAGATTTGCAAAATTTGCAAAATTCCATGTGCAGAAATGAAATCTCCCAAATGTGGCATGTGGTGCATACACTGCCATCAGCCTCTGTTACAGCAGTCATCAGGCCTGTGTCCTCGGCACCCAGCACATTCGCTGTCTGGCACGAAATAGCTCTCAGCGCAGAGCTGCTGAATGAAATGTGACTCTGTTACACTTAGCTAGTTGAGTAATAGGTGTGAATTTATAAAATAGTAAAATTTATTTACAGACTGTTGCTCACGCGTACCATGTTGGAAAATAGCTTGCTAGAAACGCTCTCTGCTTTATCACAATGTAATGACCAGTTGCTCTTCCTGTAGACATACGTCTCGTAAAAAAGCAACAGGCTTCGCGGCTGTTCATCAGCTGTTCACAGAACGTTGGCCGACGGCACCAGTCAACCGCAGCCTTAGTGGCACAGCCACAGAGAGAAATATCGACTTTGAACTTGACATACGGGTTGAAATTGATAGTGGAAAATGTGTGCTGCACCCAACTACCCTTCTACAAGAACATGATGATATAAGCTTGAGAAGGTAAATTGGTCACAAAGGATACATGTCATTTCATTTGTTAGAAATGTTATTTATATGTCATTGAATTATAATCTTTTCCCCCCACATCCCAAAATGCAGATTTAAAGAGTAGATTTAATCATAGTTGTAATGTTTGAGTGGGTATTTCCATAACCTACTATTTCTTTAAACAAGTGTATAATATTTTCTGGTGACTAGCAATGCATGTCTGATTTAGATTCTAGAAAATGTGTTAATTAAAATAGTTATATCTTTAGAATTCTCCTTTATACAAGTATGAATTTCTCAATTAGTCTCTGTCTTTGTATTGTGCACACTTCTATTTTAAAGAACAGTGCAATACTCAGATATATCTTGCTTATTGGGAGTTTTGATGGCTCCATCAAGAAGCAGGAACAACTGGGGATCAGCTTGCCAGAGGCCTCAGTATTCTGGGGCGCTGGTCAGCATATTGCTGCGGCTTGCTGTTCGTTTCCATCATTAAGTAAATGGTGCTGTAAACAGGCTTAACGTTAGGTCACTCTTTTCTTTGGATTTCTGTTTTGATTTTCATTCCTAATCTAAAAAAGAATGATAAGAAAACAGTACTAACTGGGTGGGTGGATGGGTGGGGGAGGGGTCGAAACACAGATGAACAAGGAGGCAGGATGCTGGCGGTCTGTGAAGGTGGGGATAGATCCTTAGGTGTTCTGTGTACCATTCTGTCTACTCTCTATGTTTGAAGTTTTCTGTAATAAAAGATTTTTTAAATGGCCTATTTGTCTAAGGAGGCTTTTATAAAGTGAGAAGATAAAAAGGCACTCTAAACAGTTAAATTCGTACAAATGTAGTGGTGATGATAAAAAGATGACTTTATTTTTGATTGAACCCTAATAAACCATAATACGTTCAGCAATTTGATTTGGTTCACTCTACTACGTGCACGTGAAACAGTTGTGACCTCAGGAAAGAATAAAGGTAACTGCACTGTGAATTACGGAGCATACAACAGAAACGTCCTCCGTGCCAGGAGACATAAGCCGGTTTAGTGGGGATGCTGAGGACCTTTACTTTTCAGCTTCACTAATGAAGAATCACATTGTATTTGCTGTATAAATAACATTTTGAATTTAAACAAAAGGAAATAAATGTCCTTTTTTTAAAAAGGTAAAACATTTTTCTATTTGTAGGAGTTATGATAGAAGTTCCAGGAGTTTAGATCAAGATTCTCCTTCAAAAAAGAAGAAGTTTCAAACCAATTATGCTTCAACTACCCATTTGATGGGTGGCAAGAAGGTGCCGTCATCTCTCCAGACAAAGCCTAGCGACTTAGAGACGACAGTGTTTTACATCCCTGGAGTTGATGTAAAGGTGAAAGCTAACTGTCCAGTGCGCGGGATTCGATTGTCAGTATCAGGGCTTAGTTTCTATCATGAGTGTTCTTCCTTCTCCACCTATAATCAAGTGAGACTTTCCAATGTTTTTCTGTAACATTGCCATATCCTGAACATAAGAACAGCAAATTGAATGCTACCACTTCTTTCATACAGCTTTTTCTATGAAATTTTGGCAGAAATCAGTTATTTGTTTTTCATACATTCATATCCATAACATATTTGCTAAACCTTGTCTAGTGCAACTTTATTAAACTATTTTTTAGATTCTAAAATTAATGAGTCCTAGAATGTTAAGCTAGAAAGAATTTAATTATTAGTTGGATGACCCTCTAAATTTTAGAAAAGGATAGAGCTAAGCAACTTGCTAGGCTCACAACGCTGACTTGTAAAACCTGGAACTGGGCCTTCTGACTCCTGGACCGTTGTGCTTCCTACCACATGCTTCTGCATTTCTTGGTTTCCCTCATCTGCATGCTTTTAACTGTGAAAGTTTGTTTTCTTCAATCCAGCTGCATTACAATTCCAAGACGCTCAAGACTGACTCGCCTAATGCCTCCAGAGGATCCTCCTTGCCCAGAACCCTCTCGAAAGAGTCCAAGCTGTATGGTATGAAAGACAGTGGGACGTGCTCTCCTTCTCCTCCTTTACCCTACACTGTCCAGAGCAAGACTAACACCCTACTTCCTCCCCAACCCCCACCTATCCCCTCAGGTATTTAAGGAAAATGCACTCTATTTTTAATTTTTTTCATAACTTAAGTTTTAGTCATTGCCTACTTGCTCTATTGAGACTTTCTTTCAAATTCACGTTTAAGTAAAGAGAACATAGATGCAATAATGACTGTACAAAATGCATGTGTAGAAGTCTGGGCCAAGTACTTTCCGCTAGTTTTCGAACTGGTATTACCTTACAATATCAGTTGTTAAAATATTAAATATATTAAATAGTTGATTTAATATTTTTAGATCTGTGTCTATTTAGAAAAAGTTTTATGAAGTTCCTATATGGGAGCTTTTGATTTAGATGGGAAGTTGTACAAAAACTTGCACATCACACTTACACAAGCAAGACAGAGTACATTGGGCTTGACCACATTTGTTAATTATCACTGCACAACAAATTACCCCAAACTTGGCAGCTTGTAGCCTCCAACAGTTTTTGTGGATCAGAGTTTCAGGAGCAGTTCGGCAGGGGGCCTCTAACCTCACACTCGCGTGTGAAGTTGCAGACACCATGTTGACTAGGGCTGCTGTCATCCGAATGCTTGACCAGATCTGGAACACCTGCTCCCAGCATGTCCCGGTCGACACAGCTGCCGCAGTTGCTTCCGGCTTCCCCACATGGGCTGCCGGAGCGTTCTCGTGACAGGCAGCTGACTCCCATCAGAAGAAGTGATCCAAAAGAGAGCATTGCTGAAGCCGCGCTGTCTTTCACGGCTCAGCCTCGGAAGCCCACAGTGTCTTATTGATCGTGCAGCGCAGTTCTGTTCAGTGTGGGAGGGAGCTGCCCACTGCCTGACTAGCAGGAGGAAGGGGCCGCTGGAAGCTGTGTTGGAATCCGGCTACCACGGCTCATGAATACCACCTTACATAGAGAATTTCCTAAAAAAGGGGATATCAGACTGGACAGGAATTATCTGTAAAAGTTTCATTTGGGAGCTGGAACTTGATATACCAATATTTTAAAATAGCCAGTAACCATGATAATAATGCCTAATTTTTCAATTGACAAGGCACATCTAGTCCAGTAAGTACAGGACAGGTATTATTATGCCCATTTTATAAATGAGGGAAGTTCAGGCTCTTGGAAGTTGAGTTTCCTTCCTAGGTTTACAAAACTAATATATGTTGGAATTGGAAACCTAAACCAAAGTTAGCTAAGTCTGCGTCAGCGGTTTATTCTGCTTATTATCCTGCCGAGGAACAGACGGAGCAAGATGGCCGCCCGTGTAGGGAAGCGTTCGCATGTATGAGCTAAGAACATCAAGGACGTGGAAAAGCCTGAAAACAGTGACGTTTTTCCTTCCTTGTTACAAAACATCGTTAGTCAGAGTTCCCTATATCCTCTTAAGTGCACAAAATAATGCTAATGAAAAACTCAGCCAAGCATCAACTTGAAAAACTGAACCAAAGTGTGAGCTAGAGCAAGTAGGAAGAAGTGTTGTGTTATATATATATATATACGTCATTAGTCATCTTTGTATTCTAATATTAATACATCATTTCTATCAGCCTGCCATTTTTATTACACTCTTGTATGGTTTCAAGTATAAGGTGCTTCACCTGATTAAACTGTCGTATAATTCTAATTTCTCACAAAATTGTCCTGTTTTATGGGAACTATTTATGAAATTCTTGTTACATTTGTTCTTGTTCTAGCCAAAGGAAAAGGAAGTGGAGGAGTGAAAACGGCCAAGTTATATGCGTGGGTAGCGCTTCAGTCGCTGCCAGAAGAAATGGTTATCAGTCCCTGCCTGTTGGACTTTCTGGAAAAGGCTCTGGAAACTATCCCAATTACACCAATTGAAAGGAATTATACAAGTGAGTATCCTCCTTGTAGGGTTACTTCCCCATCACAAAATTTTGGGGCCCTGCTTCTTAGAAGGATTTCATAAGGTATTATATATTATTCCATAATATATTCAATGATAATATAAAAGAATCATAGAACTGAAAAAGAACATGAAATCATCTCGTCCCCGTTCAAAGTAGAGAAGCAAAGCCCTGGGGAGGCTGGATGATTTCCCCATGGCCACAGCTAGTTCATGATGATGTGACATCCTTAGATCCCTAGGCGTGTGTCTTGGGCCCGAAAGTCCTTGAGGGCAGAGGTGTAATTCCCGGTGCTTTGTATGTGTGGCTGTGGCAGCAGGGCTCGGGGTTTGAAGGAGCCAGAGCTTTGCCTGGGCAGGTGTGCAGCACACGTGCTGTGTGCTCTCACCCCGTCTCAGCACTGGCATGCATAGGGGAAGAGGGTCTCTCAGTATTGCCCTGATGATCAAACTGCAAACTAAATGTTTGAACAGCTGTCAGCTCCCAAGACGAAGACATGGGACATTTTGAAATACCAGACCCCATGGAAGAGTCTACGACGTCGCTGGTGTCGTCGTCCACGTCTGCCTACACCTCCTTCCCCGTGGACGTGGTGGTGTACGTGCGAGTTCAGGTGTGCTCTCTCTCCGCCGTGTCGGAGAGGAAACTTGCTTTCTTACATTTGTCTGTACCTGCCCACATCACTTCCCTTTCAACTTTTCTTACCCCGGGGTTCGTGGACCTTGTATGTCTCATGGCTGAGAGGTTTCCAGAACCTCTGGGAAGTTCACGTGCACTTTTATGTGTGTATTTACTTTTCTGCTGAGGAGGTTCACAGAGACTTGGGTTTTCAATATGTGGCAAAAATGAAAATATATAAGTTAAAATTCTTTTTTTGCATTTATGCCTTTTTTACTCTGGCACTATAATTGCCATCATGGTCCTTTTTGAGCAGCTATAAAGTGTAATTGAGATATAGAGTCACAATAGTACCTTTGTTAGATTTTTACTAAGTATTATGTGATTTTTATATAATATATTCTAGAATGCAGTCTTATCAGTTGGCCTTTGGGAATGTATTTTAGCATCTGAATGAGTCCATTTGTTTAGAAGGATTTGAAAACCACTTGTATCTAAACTTTAGGGTTTATTTAGTTTATCCTCAATGAAAATCTTACAATCAATCTCAAGAATAAAAGAAATGCTAAGTGTCATCTGTTCAAACCATTTTCTACCTTAGCAGTTTGGCCAAAGAGCCTCCTTCTGGTGTTTTGCACTAGATTTTTTCAAGGTCTGCTGAAAACATGTAATGGGTGAGGGCTTAAGAGTTGATACAACTTATGAATGCAACGGTCTTTTTAAATTTTAGTGTAAGGGAAATTACTTCCTTTAAAAGACTTGATTATGAACATGTGTTATGTGAACATAATGTTCTGCATTATCTAAATGTCTAAATATTTATCAGAGATAGCTCCTCAAATATTTAGATTTTTGACATGATACCATTTTGTTAATACATTGGTTAATGTCTCATGTGTCTGTTTGAAAAAGCAAGTACATTAGGCACAAAATCGTTTTGTTTGTCACTAAATTTGATATATGTGGACTGAAATGGCAATGTAATTTTTGGAATCCAGTGTGAAATTCTTAACCACCTAGTTCCTAGGACCTTATTTTTTTAGCCCTCACAGATCAAGTTCAGCTGTTTACCTGTATCGAGAGTAGAATGCATGCTGAAGCTGCCATCCCTGGACTTGGTGTTTTCTTCAAACCGAGGAGAACTGGAGACGTTAGGGACTGCGTGCCCTGCAGAGTCTCTGTCCTCTGGAAGCAGCGCTACTCAGAGTGGGACAAAGACCTCTGCGAGCAAGACCGGGACACCAGGTATGCAGGCGTCCTTCCAGTCCGCTGGCGTAAAGCCAAATGCTATTTAAAAAAAATTTTTTTTATAGTAATTAGTATATACTTCTAAAGAAATCAATTTGGAAGGGAGAATATTTGAGAATTAGAGCATTTATAGAAAAAAATCTACGGTACATCAAAGTTTTTTGTACATTTTGTCACAAGTGGATAGCAGTCGGGTAGCATTTTATAGTTGGCTTAAATGTACACACTGCAAGTGCCCCGAAGTAGCTCATGTGTTAAGTTCAAGTCCTTTTTAATGTTTTATGCTGTTTTTATAGTTTTGCAAATGGAAAATAAGAGATGCAGTGTTACTTGACAAGGATTTCTTATCACACTGAATTAAATTATATTGAGTATATATACATATTTTTTGTTTTATTTATATTTTACTAAATTTATTGGGGTGACATTAGTTAGAAAATGATATAGATTTCAAGTATACATTTCTAAATATTCATCTCTAAAATAACTTTAATGACAGCATGATTATGCCATCATTTTGATCATATTTTAAGATTCCCTGAACTTTTTGTTTTTATTTGGTAAATAATGTTAAGATGAATATCTTTGTATGTAAATATTTATAAAACCCTTAGGATGAATTCTGAACAGTGGAATTCCTGAGTCAGAGCACGTGACCATTCCTAACGTGTTTGATGTGTTTGCTCTCCAATGAGACGATTTCTGCATCCTAACCGCAGTGTGTCTGGATGCCACATTCACTGTGTTCTTCCCAACACTGTGCTTTAAATTTATTTTTAATCATTGTTAATGTGATGGACTACAGTGGGATTTTACTCTTCTAATTTGTATTATATTACTTCATTGGCTGTTTGAGGGGGGGATAAATATACCCATGACCATTTGTCTGTTGGGACATTCAGTTTTTTCTTAGTGACAAAACAAATTATTAACACTTAAATTATTATAACAGTGTATACATACTATGCTAGGGATGTGTGCTGAAAGGAATATGAAATGAGCAACTATTTTTTATGCCCATATTTTGATTCCTAAAAAAAAAAAAATGAAATAGCGCCGTTCATTTTATCATAAAACTTGCAAGAAGGAATGACTATGAGAATAAATGTATAAAAAGTATAGGTTATGACAGTAAGCATTCATTCAAAGGATCTTTGTGGCGCTTTACTGGGGCCTGGGTCTGTGCTGGGGTTTGGACATACAGGAATGAACTCAGCTACCAGGCGCGGTCCCTGCTAATGTGGAACTTAAACTGAATTTGGAGAAACAGAAAATAAACAATCATATTGTAAGTGGAAACATGCAGTAGGTGGGTATGCATTAGCCAAGCAGAGCTAGGAGAAGGAGCACTCCAGGTAGAGATCCAAAATCCATGAGGCAGGAAAGAGTTTGGTAACTTGGAAAAATCAAATAGGACTAGTGTAAGTGGACCAGGGTGAACAAGGGGTACACTGGCAGAGAAGGATCTCTCGAGGAAGCCACTGAGCGATTCAGCAGGGACGTGGGTGTGATTCTGAGTCACAGTTTAGAACACTGGTCCCCCTGCAGCGGCGGGGAGCAGTGGGCCTTGTCAGCAGTCCAGCACTGATCGTTCCTTAGGCTGGAATAGCAGTAGTGAGACGGAGGCAGATGGACGGGCTCGATACATGTTGGACACAGAAAGTGTTTGACATGGAAATAATACGGTGATAAATTGCTCGATAGGGAGTTAGAAGTGGAAAGGATGACAGATAACCTGCAGGGTTTAGGTCGAGCTATTTGCATGGGAATATCACTTAGTGGAGATGGGAAACACTGAAGAAAAGCAGGTTGGGGAAAAGGTCAGGAAGAGTTCAGTTTCAGACATGCTAAGCACCATATGCCTGTGACCCATTCTCGTAGGATGCCAGCTAACCAGCTGCAACATACAAATATATGCAAAGGAGGTCCGAGCTGGACACCCACATTTTGGAATCATCACCAAAATCATATAATGCTCTATTCACATGGCCTCATGTTTTTATGTTTAAAGCGTGTTTGGAACTAGTCTGTCCGCCCATGGTGAACATTACCACTCAGGACGCTTGGTTTTCTAAGACAGAGAGCTTTCACTTTCTACACGTGTGTGCCTTGCTCTGTCACCACAGTTTCCTACTGAAATGTGGACTCTAACTCTACAATTTGGATTTTTTTTAGTTTGCTCTCCTCCCCCTTTGCTTAAACCCCAGTTATTTTGTGCCTCTTCCGCTGCTGGCTTCCAGTGGCGCAAAGGAGAGAATAAACAGGAAGCCATGGAGTTGGCCACTCACATGTATAAATAATTGTCTCAGAGGTGAACAGGGTATTCAACCCTGGTTTATGGAATAAGTTCACTGGAAAGTACATTTAAGCCCTCATTTTGTTTTCAAGGATTTCAATCTATTCGTGACTTAATGTTTGAGCATTTCTGTTTTATTTTCTAGTCACGTTTGGTTCTTGACACTGTATTAGTGACAGGCTTCTTTTACTTTGTGTGGCTGGTAAGTATTTGGGGCCTCTTGTGTTCCCTCTAGGTTCGTCAGGACTGGGCAGCCCCCTTGGCAGGAGTCGGCACAGCAGCAGTCAGTCTGACCTCACCACTCCCAGCAGCAGCTCGTCTGGTCTGAGCTTCACTGCGTGCATGTCTGACTTCTCCCTGTATGTGTTTCATCCTTACGGAGCGGGGAAGCAAAAAACCGCCGTGTCTGGCCTTGCGCCTGCATCAGGAGGGTTAGGTATGCTCCGGGGTCTGCGCCCTCTTCAAACCCACAGCGTCTTTCCAAGCTTTGAGCTTTGCAGAAGTCAGGATACCTTTAATAATGGGTGTAAAAAACAAGGTCAGAAACTAAAACTTTTTGCCCTTTATTCTGTCTCTACAAATAAGTAGAAATATGAAAAAAGTAATTCAGGTAAATTAATTTTACAAGAATTTTAAAACTCAGAATATTTTATAAGTGATACACACAGCACAGTAATCTCTTTGGAGATGAGGTCTATTTGAGTAAGAAATCATATTCTACAAATAGTAAATTTTTAAAGTGTGTGCATCATGTTTGTTAATTTAAAATGAGACTATTATTATTATCACTATTAAGAACTTAAGTATCACTGGCATTTTAAGGTGCTGATTTACCAATAAAAATGCTCATTAGATCATTTTGCTATTTACCTCACTTAAGTGATTTTAAATGAAGGCATGTTCCAGTGTTTTGGGAAATTTCGTGTGTATACATGTCTATGGATACAAGTATGTGTGTGTTCTTTTTACAGGAAATGTGGATGAAGAACCCACTTCGGTCACTGGTCGCAAAGACTCACTGAGTATAAACCTTGAGTTTGTCAAAGTGAGTTTGTCTCGGATAAGGCGTTCAGGAGGTGCCTCGTTTTTTGAAAGTCAATCTGTAAACAAGTCTGCAAGCAAAATGGACACCACGCTAATAAATATATCTGGTATTCAATTTTATAGTGTTATAATTAAAATATTGTTTTTCAGAATTAAAAAAGGGCCTCCTTTTTAAGTATTTAAATATTAAATTTAATAGTAAGCTTTTAGTGATAAATTAATTAAAGGAGAGCAGTAACACTCAGAATTCCAACTTGATCTCACCTCAAAAAAGGAATGGAACTAATAGTGTTAGAATGTGCCATTTTTCTCATTGGTGGAAGGAACATATTATCACTAATCATACTATGCACCTTATTTTGATATTTCGTGAATTGTAACATTATAACTCAGTTCTGTAGTACCATTTCATATTATACCTACCATGTAAAAATAATGACGGTTTTGGAAATTTATTCTAACAAATTTTATTTATTTATGTATCAGCTGTTTGTGATATAGGGTCTGCTTCCTTTAAATATGATATGCGTCGACTCAGTGAAATTCTGGCATTTCCAAGAGCCTGGTACAGGAGAAGTATTGCAAGACGCCTGTTCCTTGGAGACCAAACTATAAATTTGCCAAGTAAGCCTGTTATGCAATTGTAATTTACACTTGGTTGTTTTTAATTTTGGTTACAATGGTAACAAGACCCATGGTTGGTAACACAAACTTTGCCTTACTTGGTAAGTTGTACCATGCAGTTCATTCCCTTATTCAACAAATGTCTGCGCCCCTCTAATTGCTAAGTGAAATGGAGAGTTAGCATGATGCAATAAAAATATTAGAAATCTGATCTAGGCCTGTTCCCTCATCTGTGAAATGGGAACGGACACCTCTCCAGTCTCTCACAGGATTTCGGTGAGAAGTGAATAACATGGTGGACTGTGCTCTGCAAACTGTCATCTAGAGAACTAGAAGGAATATATAATGTGATCAGAAATGGCAGAGTGGTGAACCTTACTATTTTATAACATGGTGGTTTTACCCCCTTAATTCTGTTTTTGTTGCTGCTTTATTAGCGTCTGGCCCAGGGACCCCTGATTCCATTGAAGGGGTAAGCCAGCACCTTTCCCCCGAATCATCAAGAAAAGCTTACTGCAGGACCTGGGAGCAGCCCAGTCAGTCGGCCTCCTTCACCCACATGCCTCAGTCACCCAATGTGTTCAATGAGCATGTGTCAAACAGCACCATGTCACCAGGGACAGCAGCGCAGAGCCTGAAATCCCCAGCTTCCGTAAGGTCCAGGAGTGTGTCTGACTCTTCAGTTCCCCGAAGAGGTAATGCTGCTCCCTTGTTTCAGCAGCCCTCCCATGCCCCCAAGATAAAACTTGTCATTTTTGGCTCCCAGACTTCTGTCCCAACTGCAGGCAGATATACCCTTGTAGCTTTTTATGGACGATGGCGCTGGGTGAACCCCAAACCGAACAACAAGCAAACACTGCAAAGTATTTGCCAGCAGATGAGATAGCTGGATGGCTAGTAGCTTTGAAAAGGGAGAGAGGAACGGGCACGTTTTGGGGTGATCCATGCGGTACAGTTTTAGTAGTAAAATAAGCCTCCAGTGTTGTAAAAGATGTTTGGTGTTGGAAGTCCATCTTTGAATTCCTTCAGTCATTCTTTTGTTCACCCAGTGTTCTTTGAACTGCTTGATATGCTCAGCACTCTACCTGTGTCTGAACATATAAACAAGAGTGCTGTAGTTCAGGTCACAAGTAAGATTAGAGCCTAATGAGCAAATGCAAGGTTCAGGATGTACCTGAGTCCATAAGACACAGAAGACAGGCGTACAGCGGCCTCCGCATCTCAGAACGGTCCCTGCCTCACGCCCCCTATTTGGCAGCAACAACTTAGGATGTCCTCCTTTGTTAAGAAGAGCCCAGGCGGGGAGTGATCTGTGCTGCTGTACCCCCCACACACCAGAATCCTCTCATATACAAAGGAGGTCACTCATTGCTTTCAAGAAAGTAAGGCTACCAGCTTTTACTAAACATTCGGTAAATGGTAACTGCTTGACGGGCAATATGACAGCTATTTAACGTTAGGCCTCAATACAAAAATATTTTATTTTTATTTTTTTGGATTATAGTGATGAGTAGTTTTTGCTTTGTAATCGCTGAGCATCTATGTGAATAAATGTGCATTTGATTTTTCTATTTTTAGATTCACTCTCAAAGACATCAACTCCTTTTAACAAATCAAACAAAGCAAGTCAACAAGGGACCCCGTGGGAAACACTTGTCGTGTTTGCTATCAACTTGAAGCAATTAAACGTTCAGATGAATATGAGTAATGTAATGGGAAATACAACGTAAGCTATTCAGATACAAAGAAAATATAATGAATCATGCGTTTTAATTTTTCTTACATTGTAGTAAAGCAATTCAAAACCTTATTTTTAATGCTGGAATGTTTGAGATACTAAAAATGGTAGATTAAAGCTATAAAATTGCTTTATCCTGAAAAATGGCTTAATCTAATCCTAAAGGTGCTATAATATAAAATAGCATGAGATACATGTTCTAAAAAGAGACAAAATTATAAGGAAAATAGCATAATTTTCTAGCTAAGAGAAAAGCCTCATCATTAATGTTAATATTCAAACATTCACCACAGAGCTTATAAGAAATACATTTTATTGTCAAATCATCTAGCTCTTGTTTAAATTCATGACCCTGGGAGCCGTATGTCTGGTTAAGAAGCTCTTCCTTTTTTTCAGCTGGACAACTAGTGGTCTGAAGAGCCAGGGCCGGCTGTCGGTAGGCAGTAACCGAGATCGCGAGATCAGCATGTCCGTTGGGCTGGGAAGGTCACAGTTAGATTCTAAAGGAGGAGTAGTTGGTGGGACCATAGATGTCAATGCTCTGGAGATGGTCGGTATGTTGAAATTTTACAGCTGAAAAATATATTGAAAAAAAATGTTTTAAAAATTGACTTTGATGAGTCTTTCCCATGGCATTTCTGTGAAAAGTGGTTACTGTTTCTCTTCCAGCTCATATTTCTGAACATCCCAATCAGCAGCCTAGCCATAAAATCCAGATTACTATGGGGTCTACAGAAGCCCGTGTGGATTACATGGGCTCGAGCATCCTCATGGGCATCTTTAGTAATGCTGACCTCAAGCTTCAGGACGAATGGAAAGTCAATCTCTATAACACACTGGACTCAAGCATAACTGATAAAAGGTATCTCGTCAAATACTACTTTTTGGACACTTTATATGACTGCTCTTAATATATTTTCTGTCATCCAGCAAGAAAGCACAATTTATTTTTCTTGCAAAATGATTTTATATTGTGCAATTGATGTGAATCAAAGAGGTGGGTGGGGAAGAGAACTATTCTTGTACTTTTAAATTATCTTCCATAAGATTTAAGGACTTTGTTTTACGTTCTAGTGAAATTTTTGTCCATGGAGATTTGAAGTGGGATATTTTCCAAGTAATGATATCAAGGTCAACCACACCAGACCTGATAAAAATAGGAATGAAGCTCCAGGAATTTTTCACACAACAGTTTGATACCAGCAAACGAGCTCTGTCAACGTGGGGACCAGTTCCTTATCTTCCACCTAAGACAATGACGAATAACCTAGAGAAAAGCTCACAAGAACAATGTAAGAGTTAGAGCTACGCCTTTGTGTGTGCCCGTCTTTTGCTAAATATGTTACAGTCTTCATTTAAAGTAATAATAATGTCTGTATTCCACATTTACAAAGTGATCCAAACATTCTCGTCCTGTTCACGCAGCAAAGTACCTGATTTCCCACCCAGCAATGAAAGAAGAGGCCACACTGGGAAGTCATCGTTCATTGTCACCTCCCCCGCCACACGCACTCCTGCCCCGACTGCTAAGTGTGACCATACCATGCTCTTCAGAGCATGGGCTGTGGATTGGTTAGCTGTGTCACATTAGGCAGATTATGATTTTCACTCAGCAACTCAATCAGCAAATGTGTATTAGGCATAAGCACTAGGCATAGGCAATCTACTAGTGGACCAAGTTCCTATCCTTATGGAGTTTACATTCTAGTGGGGGAGACCATAATTTAGTCACGAAAATGCCACATAATTTCAGGGGGAGAGAAGTGCTAAGAAAAAGAAGAGCCTGGAAGGAATAGGGCACGGCAGTGTGTGGGGATAGCTATTTTAGAAAGGGAGTCAGGGAAGCCTTTTCTGAAGTGAAAGACCTATGCTGAGATCTGCGCAGAGAGAGTTCTGGGCACAGGGGGCGCCTGAAGGATGCAAAGCTCCTCCCACAGGAAGAAACTCAGAGGATCGTGAAGATGGTCGCTGCTGGGCCAGAGGGAGCAAGCAGGAAAGTGTTGGACATAAACTCAGGGAGATAGGCCACAGTTAAGGTCTTTAGTATGCTAAGTAGCTGTTGGAGAGTTCTGAACAGATTTGCTATTGATTTACTTTTTCTTAGAATATCACTCTGGCTGCTATGTGGAGCACAGACTACATTAGGTGGTTGGGAATGGAATACGGAGACCACTTGCTGTAATTACCATTACCACTGTTACCATAGTTACGTTACCATAGGAAGGACGTCATGCAGGAGGCCAGGCCACCGATGGCAACTTTAACTAGTGATTGAGGTAAAAGTGGTGAAAAGTTGTCAGAATCAGGATAATGCTTAATAACTTATTCTCACAGAACCAGGACATGTGCATTGAGGAAAAACTAGAAAACACATACATACAAAACATCAAAATATCTCATTCCACCCAGAAATCACCACTGAATACTTGAGAACATAAATTTTCAGATACTTTTCTGTGCACGTTTGTACTTTTTACCAAAATATTGTTCATACTGTTTTGTAACCTTTTCCACTGAATCTCCCACTTTCCATTTGGCCGATTTATCTCCTCTAGCCTCTGACCATATTCCACAATTGACTTAAAATTATCCTTACAACTGGTTTGTCCAAACCAGTACATCCAGTTCAAAATCAGGTTAAAAATTCTGGTTATGTTCCTTCACTCTCTTTTAATTCAGCGTAGTCCTCTTTTTAATGACCTCACTTGTTGAAGGGACCTGGCCAGCTATCCCGCAGAATCTCCTACCTTCTAGGCATTTTCCATTTGCTTCCTCGTGGTTTCACTTATCTTGTTCCTCCAGCCCCTGTTTTTTTTAAACTAGAAGTGGTATCAAGCATATACAAATAGAGGGAAGTTTCCCAAGACGCCTGTCCTGGATTCTTTTAAAAAGCCCTTGTCATGGAAAACAGGCTTACGGGATTGTTTTAGGTTAAAGGACTCTAAAGAGACATGCCAACTAAATACAACACATGATCCCTGGTGGCATCTAGAGTGAGTGTTGTGGGAAACAGTCAGAACGGACAGTACTGGAATAAGTGGGAAGTATACATTAGTGCTTCTCAAACTGCAGTGTGTCTGCAACACCTGGAGATTCCGATCCAGTAGGTGCAGGGTGGACGGAAGAGCCTGCATTTCTAACAAGTTTCAGGCTGATGCTGATGGTCTTCAGACCTCACGTTTGAGTAGCATGGGTATAAAAGTTTTAAAGAAGTACTTTCAGGGGATCGGCATTTGATTTCTAAGTCTTCTAGTCACTGGATTATTTAACCCCTCTTCTGTTTCACTTGAAAAGGTGTAGATGAAATACCTAGTTTATAGTGACTGTGAGACTGTATAACATTTCCTGCAAGCACTTAGTCATTCGTGAATCACTGCAGCAGTGTAAGCAGTAATTATTAGTTCATTCCATCCCTGTGCAGCATCTTTCCCCGATGGTGTCTTTATTAGCTTCTGCTCAATGCTAAGCAGCCGTTGGATTGTTGTTTTCATCCCTTAACTGAGTCACTTGGGCTGGACGGAGTAGCCACGCGCTGCCTCCCACTGCCCGCCGGGATGTGCCGAGGCCTCCCGGCTAAGTGGTTTCTGGTTTTCTTGCAGTGCTGGATGCGGCCCACCATCGGCATTGGCCCGGAGTACTGAAGGTGGTGTCAGGATGCCACATATCCTTATTTCAGATCCCACTGCCAGAGGATGGGATGCAGTTCGGAGGATCGATGAGCTTACATGGGAATCATATGACTCTAGCTTGTTTTCATGGTCCAAATTTCCGTTCAAAATCCTGGGCCCTTTTTCACTTGGAAGAACCAAATATTGCTTTCTGGACCGAAGCTCAGAAAATCTGGGAAGATGGTAAGCTTTTACTCTTTCCTGTCTTCTGATTTGATAACATATGGCAAAGTAGTTTTTTTTTCTCATATCTTTTGTCTTCATACTATATTTCTGAAGTTTATCTCTACTTGTTATCATGTACCTGACATGTCAAGTTCACTTCATATAAAGTCTGGGGATGTGTGAAAAGACTCATTTCTGAACTTGCATCTAGTCTGCTTCTTAAGCAATTAAAATTCTTGCTGCTGTGGCTAGCCATAGTCCTAACAATGGTAGTCATTGTAAATCTTATGAAGACGCAAACAGAAGACACACAGTGGTAGTATAAGGAAACTATTTGCCAGTCAAGACCGCAAAACGTTTATGGGCAAGGCAGTGCTTTTACCGTTATTTATACATAAACCCAGTTTCTTTTAGCTTTCATTCCTACTAAGTGGTTTCTTAATGAATGAAAAAAAAGGTTGATGCTGTTCCCCTTACTGAGGATAAATCAAGTTATAACTAAAAGGAAAATAAATAATAGTGATTTTTCTTTCTCATTTCCCCTCAATTTCACAACCCTCCTTATCTGTGTATGACTTAGTATTGGGTTGTCGGAAAAGTCATGACGCATGTTTGCGA